TTAGCATTCAGTAACCTTAACCATTCAGCTACTCGTGGGTCTAACTATTGTTCTAAGAGATAAGCAACAATTTTTCAGCAATAACTAATGTACTTTTTCACAGACAGAACTGAACAGTAAAAACTTCTTAAACTGTCGATTCAGATTCTAATTTAGTTTCTTCCTTTTAAAAGCAGGAGCTTCAAAACTTTCCTCATGCTGCTTTTTATTTTGAATAAGCCTCTTGAAAAAAAAAAAAAAAAAAAATTCCATGTACAGTCAAACATTTTATGATCTTTGTTTTGATATTGTAACAGGAGGGAATATTTACCTCATCTGATTTTGCATATTTATAAATTCTTCGTCCATAGTTATATTTCCACATATTATTTTGTCTTGAAAATTTTGAATTATTTTTTCACATAGAAAGCATAATTTAAAAATTTCAGGAGGACTTTTAAATCCCCCCTAAATTTGCAAAATTAATTAATTAATACTGCTAATTAAAACATATTTCCTGTTCACACATTGAAAATAAATTTAAAGTAACTATAGTTAGAAATACAACATGAAGGTTTACTATAACATAAAAGCATGATAATAGGATCAAAATGATGCATAGAATATTTAAATTAATACTTCTTCAAAATGCCTAGACAAATACACAATTTATTTATCTTAATATAACGAAAAACCTAAATAATTTATAATTTAGATCATAACTATGTATCCAATTTTTAACAAAGGTGCAAACCAACAGGTTTGGTGACAATACATCAAAATATAGCATGCGACTTTAAATTACCAATCGTAGAGTAAAATTGAAACACGAAAAGTCATATCACATTTCTAACCAAGCACAAAATTTACATGAAATGTAGTGTACAATTTTACAAACGATAATAAAAGAAACATCACAAACAGTATCGGCTATAATTTACTGCACAAACACACACACATTCCGCAGTTTATTTTGTATTTATAAAATCATTTGATCATTAATAAATGATAGTTAAACGAAAATGCACGTTTTAAAGAAATACGAAGAGTAATTTATTCTAACATTCTATGAGAAAATTCGAAGCTGAACTTACCTCAAAAACATGCTTTTGAGACCGGAATCCATTGATTTTGACGAGAATTAATTATCCATTTTCTTCATCTTTCTTCATTTTTGGCGAAACGTCCTAAACTTATTTTTTGAATGATTGGAACAATTTGATGCAACACATCCACCCATATTTGTCAAAATTAAGTCGGAATCGACCAACAAATATGTCAACAAAAGGACACTGTAAAATAGCGATAGCAACAAGCACGCTTCGTTCGTTACAACGGACGACGCATCAAATCCCCAAGGTCATTATATCAACGGAAGCGCTGTGCGGTGGGTCACCGGACAGACATCGCGCGTTGTAATTTTGAAAAATTAACTAAGCAAAAATTTATGTGGAAAACCGGAAATCGGGAATCTTCCATAGTTTTTTAAGAAAAGTTATTTATGCATAGAATCGTACGAATGCTGAAAATAATTGTAAACATTAAATTCTTTTCGTAAAGGGAAGCCTTAGAAAATGAAAAACGATATTTAAGTTAACTAAGGGAAATAAATATTGTAAAACAAGGTATTTTTCAATATTTTTCGTAGTATTGTTTGCACTAAATAAATTTTGTTGAACAGAACATATGATGGCATAACTGCTAAGACCATGGTAAAAACATAATCAAAAAGTATTATTCTATTTATTTTCATTGCTCATGCACTTTTTTTAATACAAATGAACTTTGACATTCCATGAGAAAGATATGATCGTGATTTTCAGTTTAATTTACATATCTCAAGCAAAAATATATATAAAAAAGATTTGACTTAACAAGTTCATATTTAAATACCATGAAATTCTACAAATTTCTTAATATCCGTCATTATACTTTTAAATAGTATACTTATCACATTCTTTTTAAAGTGAAAAGTCACTTCATACTGATTCACTTCAGATTTTAGCAGAAGTGCATATTTTTTCAGTATAATCTAAAAGTACTCTTATAATCCCTTACACTCCCAAGATTTCTATATAACATTTATCCTGACGTGATTATTTGCTATAGTAAATAATCTTCGATATTGGCATCCTATTCTTCCTTCCATACATTAAAAATGGAACAATTAAAATACATTTTCTTAGACATATACGCATAATAATAATAATAATAAACTTGCCATACATCTTAGTTTCAGCCCACCAGCAGCTGAGCGGTAAAGTCGCTGAACACTGGTAGTTCGGTCCGAATCCCGCGAACGGGCTGGCTGCATGGGCGTTTTCGTGGTTTTCCTCATGTGTAATGTGTATACGAGCCAGTTTTACCTGAGAAAGTCCTCCAAGAAGGCATCACACCTATTACGCAGATAGCCCTAGTGTGCTTTGCCATAATTAAATACACCACCACATCTTAGTTTTCAATTCAGCCTGTACACAAATAAAATATTTTTAATTACTAATGTATTTTTATCAGGTTGTTTCTTAAAATACTTTTGTTATACTCAAAATATGTGTTCAATATTAAATTATTTTTCTTTCTCTTATAATTAAAAACAAGTTATATGGAATCAAAATTAAAACATATGCAGCAGTTAAATAACACTGAAGAGTATCTTTACTTACTCTTTCGCTATTTGTATTCTAGCATTAATACACAGATTTGTTTTCCTTCAGAGGTTAAGCTATGGTGTAAGTTCACTTAGTTATATCAATTAAATTACATCAGACATATGCATCAGTTAAACAACATTGAAGGAAATATGTTTGCTCGCTCAGTCGATGTTTGCATCATAGTGTGGTCGAGAAATTGTTCTTTCTTCATGGTGAAGCATGTATCAGTTTACTTAGTTCTCAATGCTTAACCCAGACATTGCTTCAATACATAGAATTACTTTTGGGATGTAAAGAAAGTAACCAAAACATGTGAATTAACTTGGATAAGCGAATTTATCAACTAATCATTCAGGTAGTCACTATTGGTAAACACGAAACTGAGATTAAATATCTCGCTATAAGTCTACTTCATAAAAGGAAAATTATGATAAAATGAATAGCACATATTCTGGCATTTTCGATGTTGAAATTATCTGCTCTTTTGCAGCGAATAGTCCATAACTTACGAAGTTCTGGATCACTTGGAAAACGATGGTATGTGATGCCTTGACTTTTAGTTTTCCTTCTATAATTCTGACACAACGCTATAGCACAACTTGCCATTTCCGACTAGGTATAAAAGCAAATTAACAACACAAATCAAATGTATCCCAGATCAAATGCAACGAATGTAAACAAACGCCGAGAACTAACGACTGTCACCCACATGACGTCATGCGCAGGTGGCATAATTTTCTCCCTGCACTACGCATCGCTCTTGGGCCCCCCCTGCAAATCCCCGATGACCACAACTTGTGACGTCACAAAACCGCCATCTGGCTTGTAGAGTCGGTGTTGGTACTGTGGCGTTCCGACAGATACTTCAACTTCTATTCATGAGATGGCGCCACGTGTAAAATCCAGTTCTTAATCGGAGCAGCAAAGCGACGTCATTACTCACTCAGACTTCTCGTCAGACAACTGTATGCGACTGTAGCATGAACTGTGTTCCGAGCTCTGCGTTGATGTCTGCAATGTAATTTAAATTGTAATTTAGTGCTTAATATATTCTTTTGTTATAGGAGATTGTCTACTCTTATTTTCTTTAATTATATCATGCATTAAGCACACGACCACCAAAAACTTCATGAAAACAAAATGGCGTCTAAACAAAAACTAACAGGTAGCTGTAGCAGGGTTGGTTGCCAAATTTTCGCCAAAAAATCGCCAAGTTACCATAATCCAAAGATTAACCTATCGTTCTTCTAAATCTGATGCATGTTTTCAGGTTTTAAATTTACTGCATGCATTTTCAACAGTTCAGCGCTATTTGCGGCGTTTCATAACATCAAAAGCTTTATATCCATTACTTTTTTTGGATATTTCGAATACTTTTACCATCTTTAAAATGATGAATAATTAAATTTATCATAGGATTTGTTGTTTAATTTGTAGCGTCTTTTTATGTTTATTTCAGATATAGAATTGTTAATGCGTTAAACAAGTAATTATTTCCAAATGCAGGCGATAATAATTTTGGTGATGAGTTTTCATTTGATACAAAATATCATCTGTCAGAACATTTCAGCAAAACGTCTAAGTGTCTGAATTATTATGCGAGTTATTAATTAACACTCTTTGAATAAATTATTTTATTGCAAGGGATGTTTTGTGGTCTTTATTTTGTAACAAGCAAGGCTTTAGAGACAAAATAGTACATTGTAAAAACATTCTAAGTATGTGTTTCAAAATTTGACGTGAGATCCATGCAAATAAGTTTTAAAAATGTAAGTGTCCGAAAATACAGCTTAGCCATTTTATACAATATTTACGACTACATTTTTTGTTGCACGAAAATATCGTCAAAATTTCTCGGCATTTCAATTTCAGTAATTGCGTTCTGAAGATTGAAAAGTGTTGTTAAACTACATTACGTAATTCAAAACGATCACTATATCATAATATTACTGAATAATTATGTTATTAAAATAATAGCAATTTTGAAAATACATTTTAAAACATGTAATATAGTACAGAAATGCTTTAAGTATTCATGTTTCCATAAAAATGGATCTAACACTGACAGCTGGAAAACTTATTATAAAACTCGACTAGTCCAAAACGTGGAATTTTAATTTCTGTCTTCTTTCTTTTAGTTTCCACAAAAATAATTCAGCCTTTTAATTTTTTTGTGGATGCCGTAATTAAGAAATACCACAGGTTTTACCAACGACTTCATATAACAGTATATTATCTCGTTGGGTTTTACCAAACGGAAACAAAAATATCTTGAAAATCAAAGCTGTTAGGGATTTTTCAAGATCCTAATAGGGAAATTAAAGAGTATTGCGTAAACTACGTACTGTTATGTCCGACGCGCAGAAGATACTATCACAGAGATGCGCGATATTTCTGTAGTGTCTAGTGTGAGTTGAAACTGTGTTGGCGAGTTGCGAAGCGGAGATGAAATGTTGCTCAGGTTCTTAAGTTTGCAATAACCCGGACACTTCATTTTAGTTTTATCCCAGTATATTCACCACAGTGCTCAAATTTTCCGTATTACATCCATCCTGAAATATGCTGGGGCAAACGGCTTCAATTTTAAATAATATTCGTCAGGTAGGAGTTAGTAAAATAAATCGGAATATAGCAGATTTAGGCCTAAACGCGGCAAGGTCAAATATATTGAGGGCTTCCAGTTTTTTACTGTCAAGATATTTTAGTTCACATTCTATACCAGAAAATTTGCAATATGTCGAAGATGCGGAGCAACCATCATTTTTTCATATGGTTGAGTATTTTTACCACAAAGGATGGCAAGTCGTTGAAGATAAACTTGTCGAAGAATTTAAAGGAAAGTTAAGTTTAGAAGAAAAACGTGAAAAAGTTAGGGGATATTTGGGAATTTTGGGACCATGTCATTCAGTGCTGGAAGTTTGCTTTCCATTGAAAAGAGACAGTGGAAAATATGTTATGATAAATGGCTGGAGAGCGCAACACAGTCATCACCGGACACCGTGCAAAGGAGGTATATTATTCAGATTAGTATATTTTGCTTAAAATAATGCTTATTAATTTTAAGAAGGATGTAACCGTTATGGTGCGCATATGATTTTTAGATGATGTTTGAAATTTCGAAATTTGCGTTAGATTTTAAAACTTTACGTATTTATTACTCTTAATATTAAATTTTCTTTAATGCAAAAAGTACTTGAAGAATGTAAAATTTTTAAACGTTTAGAATTTTTCAAACTTTATATTCCCGTAGTTTTATGCAGATAATGAGTATTTTTTTCTTCCTTTTGACCTTTTGCTGGAAGTATTATAAGTAAATATTTACGTTACTTTCTGCAAACTGTTTGGCATGATTTGATGTCATTCTGGCTGCATTTCTATGTTTTTTAGGTCTGTGTGTTATAAGCAAATGAGATTAAAGTGCATTAGGCATTCAACCAGCTAGTTTTTTTTAATTATGATCTGTCAAATGAGGTACATGCAGTTTTGTATAAATAGTTTCTTGCACAGTAGGATTTTGTAATTCCAAGATTCTCAAAAATATTTAAATAGTAAGTAAAGCGTATAAAAATTATTTGCTTGCCCATATTCTTAAAACAAAAAGTTTGATTTGAGATCTTGGTTTTGTTTAGTTCTCTTTCATCAAATGAAATTTCCCATTTTAGTTTATATTATTTTATTTCTCTTTATGCCTTTTACGTGGTTATTAAATCAAAATGAAATTCTCATAGACATTTGTATGCATTTTCCTCTCAAAGAATTTTTCATTGTAATTTTATTTCTTTTAAAAATTATACATTTTATGTATTCATAAGCATGTTTACATATGAGTATTCAGAAACTCTTAAAACTCTAAAGGATTTCGTATAGTTAATTATTAACCTTTTGACTACTAATGGGATATGTATGACCCACTAGAAGTTTGAAAATTTCTGCTGGGTTAGAAAGTACTTAGAATCTCCTGAATGTTGGGGATCATCTTCCAGTAATTGGAAAATCAAGATACTGCTGTGCTCACTGTACACAAATAAACACAGAGAAAAGAACAAATACGAGTTTCCCAATGTGTAATATTGGGTTATGCAAAGAATGCTTTACCCTGTACCATGCAATGTTAAAATCTGTTTCATATCATAAAGTTTTCCAGAATAATAATTGTGCTGATAGTAAGTTGATCGCTACATGTGGAACGTAGGTATCCCATCATTAACTATGGCTGGGACATGTGTCCGAGCCTTTGGCTTCAAAACTGTTTGTCAAAAAATTCCCAAATGCTAAATTTTCCTTATTTATGACATATTTTGTCCACTTAAATGGAATTTTTTTTTAAATTCATAGTCGAAGAGTTAGGACTGATGACTAGCTCATTTTAACTGTTACTCTTTCGTAGCTTGTGACCATAGCTCATTGCATGAATTAAAGCAAAATGTTAACATTATTTACTTAGATTAACTGACTGACTGATAACTTATAGCCATAATACCACTGAGATCAGTAGTTTATCTGGCTCGATCAAATTTATGCCAGATGGGCACGATAACATAGAACTATCTTCACATAGTGTCATCTGCAAGGAGGAGCTAAGACGAATAAAGAATAGGAAGACCAGCAACGCAAGTAACCGGCCCGGTAAAGGCGTGACTAAGTGGGAGTCATAAAATGAGTGTAGAATGTGAATAAAACTAGTGAATTTAAGAAATACACAGTACAATAAATGAGTAAGATACAAAATTAAGAATGCTAATAAACACATTGGGTACATTATTTACAGGTGGGAAAGTTCGAGTCCCTGATAAGTTGGGCCGCAAGTGGGCGCAGTTTAGCGTCCTTATTCAATATTTCGTTGGTAAAGATATCAAAATTTCTCATATGGTCACAGTTCAGAGTTTTTGTGAAGAATTTCCTGTTGATCTTATTCAGGTGCTCTTCTAGAGTGTCCAGTTTTAAGTCGCAGTGCAGTGTAGCATTGCTCACAAAAAAGTGAGCATGGGTGATAAGCCTTAGGACTTTGTTTTGCATGATTTGAAGTCTTTTTATATCCTCTTTGGTAGCTGTGCACCAGGCCAGCGACGCATAAGTCATCAATGTCCTAATTGCCATGATATAAACTAACCTCTTTTTCCTGAGGTCTAAGCTAGAATAATTACCCAATATAGGGATGAGACTATTTACAAGAGTGAAAATTTTTCTTCTGACCTCTGTTATATGACCTCCCCATTTTAATCTTTCATTTAGCATTACTCCTAAATATTTCGCCTTACTAACTCTAGGAATCTCTTCAGAGAATAAGAAGAGCTTGCTATTAATAGTCAACTGTGTATTTTTCCTCCTTATCATTAATAATTGCAGATTGCTGCCATTAATAGCAATCCTCCAAGTCGCACATCACTTTTCTACCTCTGGTAGAAGCTCCTGTAACTTCTTGATTGCAGGGTGTGCGTTTGCGGACTTTACGGCTAATGCTGTATCGTCCGCATAGCACCCAAGAAAGTGATTTCTGCCAGTGTGAGCCCTAGGGAAGTCATGAACATAAAATAAATACAGGATGGGCCCTAAAATGGACGCCTGCATTCATGGTGCGTAAACTGGAGATGTCCTTTCCAATAGCCACAGTGAATTTCCTATTAGTGATGAAGGACATAATTAGCTGAATCAGCTCTCTATCCATAGGGAGGTTTATAAGTTTATTATAAGCCACTCATGGCGAAGGCATTCGACCACGTCTAGCATGAGTAAGGCAACATTTTGTTTCTTGTGGAGCGCATCCCCACGAAACTCGACGAGCCGAACCAGCTGCTTCGTAGTTGAAAGCTTTCTCCGGAAACCATATTGTTCCGGAGGCAGTAATTCAATATAGTTTTTCAATCTGCTGTAGATTATTCTCTCAAAGATCTTTCCTAGTCACGGAAGCAAGCTAATGGGCCTGTACCCATCTGGCTTAGTGTTATCCTTACCGGGCTTAGGCAATAAAATAACTTTTGCGATTTTCCATTTTGTGGGAAAATAGCAATGACTAAGACACGCATTGATAATACTCATGAATTTTGTCACAACATTGCAGGGCAGATTTCTAAGTGCGTGATTATTAATATCGTCTATGCCAAGGGCTTTTTTGACTTTAAATGTATCTCTTAGCAGTATGGGCATTAAGCCATTTCCTAACAAAGAAGCATGCCTCATTGACAAAATTAATGTCCATGGGTGTCATGTTAGGTCTGAACTGCCCTTCTAAATGGACCGTCGATTTGTCTTTATTATTGAGAGCAACAGAGTTTTCAGTATAAATCGGCTTATTGCATGTACACTGCCTTTTCAAGTTACGCATGAACGTCCAGAGAGTGCCATCATTCGGACTAAGATTCTGAATTTTTTCCTCCCATACATCTCCCTTATGCTCATCTATTTTCTTTTTAATTAATTTATTTAATTTGTTCATATCTCTTTTTACGTGAGGGCTCCATGTAAGGTGCCACGCTTTCGTCATCCTATTCCGGTCCTTAATCATCTCTCTAAATTTCTGTGGCAGAATGCCAGCGTTATTATTTCTTCTCACCTGTCTAGTTCAGAGTATCAAAGATGGGCGAATTCTGACTGAGAAACTTCTGGAACTTATTCCAGTCAGTCGTGCAGATCATTTCATTTTCTGCCTCTTTAGTAGTGCCTAGGTAAGCTATGACTGGTAACTTAGATTAAGCATAAAATGAGTGAACAAATATTGCAATCGTAGGCTTTTTTTTTTTTTTATGTATACAGAGTACTATTTATATATACTTTCTACTATTAGTAAATTTATGTAATGTACGACGTGATAATTTTTATTTTTCATTTGCATTAAAAGAATGGAATAGTTTAGCACCTATCATTTTATTATCACTGAGAAAGAAATTGCTACGCAGTTCTTTACCATATATTTTATTTACGGTTAATATTTTAAAACTTCAAAATTTGTATTTTATCTTTTTTGTCAATAAAATAAACTGTTATGTGTGTAATTTTTTGACATTTAAAAACACATAAAAGAGGACCAATCTTTAATTAATAATTTGATGAACTACTTGATGGAAGTTTTCCCAACATTGATGTAATTATTGGAACATTTATTTATAGCAAGCCAAAATTTTCCAACCAATTTTTCACTGGTAACAAGTTCAATGAATTCATCTGCAAATAGTTCACCATCTTCAGTATCAGCTGAAGCTTTTTCACCTGAAATTTTTAATTGCCTTATACTATTGTGATTTTTAAATTTGATTAACGAGGCCTATCGATTATGTGTACTTAGTTTTTAAGTTCATTTCTTCATGAAATATTTTAGCTTGATCCATTGTGGTCCCGTCAGTGGCATGCCCTCGCTGTGACGTTGTCTGATCCATTCAATCATCACTTCATTATTACATAATGAACAATTTTTCTGTTATTCATTGCACATGGGGTGTTGGAATCCACAAAAAATTCATTAAGTTCCTTTTTCTTATTTCTCATGTCATATACAGTTGACTTTTCAATGCCATTACTCGCATAATTTTGAGACGGATATGCCTTTGTCTATTTTTTGCAGCAAATCCACTTTTTGTTTAATGGACATAGAAATATGCTTTTGCTTTGTGATCCTTTCTCAGCTGCAGAATTAAAAACTTTTTGACATAATCGAAAGTTCAAACTTTAATTTTCATCAAATTGCTCTAATAATAATCACTTTCAAAAAATAATAAGCTTGATCAAATCAAAATTAAGGGACAGCACAATCTGCTGTATTAACTGAAATTCCTTGGAATCAGTACAGTATAATTTTAGCCTAGATTACTAGCTATACATTACTGGCTATGTATCATAAGATTGGCAACAACAAAAAAAAAAAAAAAAAAAGTTCTGCTAAATTTTGTTTTGCTTTTATCATGCACTAAGACAGTTACGCCTGACTTGTGTTAGTTAAGTTATTTATTATACCTGTGTCTAGTTCTTGCACATGCTTAAGGCTAATCTGTGTCCTGAATAAATAAACTTCCACATATACATAAGGCTTATCTAGGCCCACCACTACATACCACCTGATGCAGTCTCTGCGGGTCCTATAAAGCGCCTCCCTAAGTTCTAAATTTTTGCTGTCCCTAAACTTTGGATCCCAGTGCTTTCCTAAATTAGAAAATTTTGCTGCTCGGTGCTTTTCTAGTTTCTAAAAATTTTGTCTTACCTAAAATTCTGCCACCCAGTGCGGCCATATGAAGTCTGACGCTAGTTCTTGGTTTATGTGAATAACATATCAGTTTTTCTTAATTCAAATAGCACTAAATGTAATCTTTTGGCCTATGAGTTTCATTTACGAAACCTATTTTGGTTAATCTTTGGATTATGGTAACTTGGCGAAAATTTGGCGATCAACCCTGCTACAGCAACCTGCTAGTTTTTGTTTGGACGCCATTTTGTTTTCACAAAGTAAAGGCATTTTTTTTTTTTTACTCAACATTTTTTTTCCAGCAATCTGCTAGCCGAATTACGCTTATGCTAGAACTTTTATGGAACAAAAGTGCTTAATCATGACGAAGATTAGGTGCGAAATTGGGAGACAGTGCAGAATCGCCCACTGCTTGCCGAATTTTTAAGAATTGCACATACACGGTATCCATGTACACGTCGTCCAATTTTCACTTAAGAAAACATACCAGAATTGCACAAAAATGGCATTGCGCACACTCTTGACTTTATCCATGTACACTGCTAGTCCATCATATCTTGGTGGAATGCCAGAGTTTTAATTATTTTCGCCAAAAACATTTTAATTGTTCAGAACTGGACTTAGGAAATTTAATTGGAAAGCACATCATCGTAATTTGTTTCTGTTTTTAAAAGATATTGGCTTTTATAATAGACTTTAACCTGTTTTTTTAAAAGATATCAGCTCTTATCATAGACTGTAATCTGTCTCTTACCTAAGCTGGAAGTTTTTACAAATGACTAATTGCATTGTTACCATTTGTCTGGCGCAGATAACCTTGACAGGTTTTGTGCCAAATTACAATAATCCAATCCAATGTACACTGCTAAAGTCCTAGCTAGTAACCTTTATCGCCTTACCTAATGGTCGCCAAACTACCTGTTACCATATTCTAAAGATTAGCCCCTATTTTTAGCATATGGAAAGAGATGTTTCTTAAATTTTTCATCAACATTTCTTAGCGCATTTTGCTTAAATCTGTAATCATCGCCAAGCATAATGTCAGCATAAAAAGTTGCCATACTTTTGTTATTCAATTACTAATATAAAAAAAGTGCTTAGTCATCACTGTATGAGACATTATTGAAGTTGCCATGTATTGAGAAACATGCGATGATGAAAACAAAATATAATAAATAAATAGTGATTCGTCGGGTCGGTGTTTTATATAAAATACTGGTAAGTATAAAATAAAAGATGTTGCCGTGTAGAATGTTTTGGTTTAAGATGTATGCCAAGCAGCTACCCAGCTATGTAGCCAAATTATTTATTGATCTCGCGAATTTATGCTTAAATGATTGTTTCCTCAATAATGATGTATTTTATTTAGTGCCTAAGTGAAATCAAGAATCGGGACTCTCCACATGTTTTATTATATGAAGAAAAGTTAAATACTTTTGCGTTAAAAAAATATATATATATATTGCTTTTGATGTCCGGATTTTAGATCATTACGGATATTGAACATCCGGATCTCGGACTTTGTACTGTACCAGTTCTTTGAGAACTGGTTGTTTGCCAGGCTGAACTTATAAAAATCTTTTGTCTCTGAATGATACTTGCTCTGTCCCCTTAAATGTACTGATAGCCTATACATGGCATAATAATGCAGAAAATTAGGATGTAGACATACGACATAAAATTAATATTTGTTTTAGAATGGTAATGTTTATTAAGTCTCAGGGTATTAAATACATGTTGCAGGTATGGCTTAAAAAATTGGAAGGACAGATTATTTAGATGTATCTAGCATCCAAATAATAAGTCTTTCTTTAAATTCTGGGTCTTAGCTGCTTAATCATATTTATGCTGAAAAAGATCCCAATTTGTCTTAATATATTTCTCAAGAGTTGTGTATTTTTAAGTTGATATATTTTAAAATGAAATATTTGTATTGTGATTTTCACCTTTCATTTATTCAGGTATCCGATTTAGCTTAGACGTAAGTTTGGATGAAGTCAAGGCCTTGTCAGCATTAATGACTTTCAAGTGTGCTGTAGTAGATTGTCCATTTGGTGGAGCTAAAGCGGGACTAAAAATCAATCCTAAGGAATACAGTGAATTTGAATTGGAAAAAATCACTCGGAATTTTGCTTTGCAGCTAGCCAAAAAGGGCTTTTTAGGTTTGTACAATTTTCTTCTTTAAACAATATTATTATCTGTATAATAAAGTGATGAATTACTTGTTAATGTGGTAAATGGTAGTTTTACAGTGAATACTGTCTGTATCATAATGATAGTTTTACAATGAATATTTGGTAATCGTGTGTGCTTAATGCATGCTATAATTAAAAAAAATAAGAGTAGACAATCTCCTATAACAAAAGAATATATTAAGTACTAAATTACAATTTAAATTACATTGCAGAGATCAACGCAGAACTCGGAACACTGTTCATGCTACCGCCGCGTACAGTTGTCTCGCGAGAAGTCTGAGTGAGTAATGACGTCGCTTTGCTGCTCCGATTAAGAACTGGATTTTACACGTGGCGCCATCTCATGAATAGAAGTTGAAGTATCTGTCGGAACGCCACAGTACTCCCCCCCCCAAGTACCATCGGTACGTTATAAGTACTTTGGGTTAAATTCAACCTTTCTTCCAGATCTGGTAGTTTTAGGTTGCTCTTTAACGGGATGTAAGCTTTCTTCCGGGAGCAATGTTGATGAGGAAGTTGTTGGATCTTGCATTAGAAATGCTGGTTTGAGACGATCGATTCCAATCACTGATTGTTTGCTATTGCAGATGATGGTGAAATGTTTCGGTGTTCGTTTGACAACTTTGAATGGACCATCATATGAAGGTGTTAAAGTTGGCTTAATTGCATCGTTGCGCACGAATACGTGCGAAGATGTCTCAAGCACAGGATGTACAAAATAGCTTGGCCGGTTATGCGAAGATGCTGGGGTTGGCGAGATATTGGTCATGGTCTCACGTAAACGTTGAAGGAATGTTGGAGGGTCGATAACTGGAGTAGATTCTGGGTGAAATAATTGTATTCACCTGGCAGACGGAGGGTTGCACCATATAACATTTCAGCACAAGTGCTACCAATGTCTTCTTTGAATGCTGTGCGAAGACCAAGCAAGACTAGGGGTAAGGCTTCTTTCCAGTGTGTGCTACTGTGGCACTTCAGACCTTGTTTGAGAGATCGGTGAAAGCGTTCCACCATCCCATTTCCAGATGGAAGGTATGGTGTTGTGCGAATATGGCGAATGCCAAGAAGAGAGGTGAGGGATGCGAACAAGTGACATTGAAATTGTCGGCCTTGGTCAGTAGTGATGGTGGTAGGCATGCCAAATCTTGAAAGCCACTGGGAGATGAATGCTGAAGCTACAGTTTCAGCGGATATATTTTCAATAGGAATGCCTTCAGGCCATCTTGTGTACCGATCAATACAAGTGAGGAGGTAAGTGTAACCATTTGAAGGAGGCAATGGGCCAACCAAGTCTTAAGTGCACATGATCAAAGCGTCTTGCTGGAAGGTTAAATTGTTGAATGGGGCTGTGAGTGTGACGGGATACTTTACACCGTTGACATCTAATACATGAACGAGCCTATTCTGTGATGTCTTGATTCATTGCTGGCCAGACAAATCTGTCTGCGATCAGCTTTTTGGTGGCACGGATTCCAGGATGTGCCAAATTGTGCAAGGCATTAAACACTTCACGTCTAAAATTGACAGGAATATAGGGACGTATTCTATTGTTCTCTATGTCACAGTAAATTTTAAGCGTTGGATCAATGTGCAGCGGTTGTAACTGAAGGAAAGTTTGGGGATTTGAGATTAGGTTCTTGAGTTCCTCATCATGCAATTGAGCTTTTGCAATTTCAGAGAAATCTGGGGTAGTGAGGTTGATATTCTTTACACGAGACAAGGCATCAGCGACACAATTATCAGTACCAGAGACATATCTGATATATGTACTAAACTGGGCGATGAAATCCAGATGTCGAAGCTGACGAGGAGAACATGAGTCAGAGTTTTTTCTAAAAGCGAAGGTTAATGGTCGATGATCAGTGAAAATGATGAAGTCGTGTCCTTCCAAGTGTGCCGGAAGTATTTAACAGCACAGCACACAGCAAGTAGCTCTCTGTCATATGTGCTGTATTTCCTTTCTGCAGTAGTAAGTTTTCTGAAGAAGAATGCCATTGGGGAACGTCCTTTAGTGGTATGGGCTTGAAGCACTGCTCCTATGGCCGTGTCAGATGCATCTACCATTATAGAGAGCTGATCACTAGGTGAGTGATAAGAAAGTGTGGCTGCATTTGCCAGATCGTGTTTGCATTGCACGAATGCTGCAGATGCAGATTCAGTCCAAGGAACAGCTCGTTGATCGTTTTTTTTTTTTTTGCTATTCTTCAGAAACTCATGTAGGCAGGCGTTTTTGCGGCATTTGGCAGAAAGCGTCGGTAGAAATTTAACATTGCTAGAAAACGCTTCAGTCGAGAGATGGTTTTGGGCTGAGGTAGGTCGTTAATTGCTTTGACTCTTTCCGGTAAAGGTTTGACTCCATTTTGGGTGATAAGACATCCAAGAAAGGAAACTGAGGGTTGACCAAGTAGACATTTGGATGGATTTCGTTTTAATCCATGATCTTTAAGGCGAGTGAAAATATGACGCAGATGTTGAAAATGTTCTTCCGCATCTGTAGATGCAACCAGGATATCATCAAAATATGCGATGCAGAAATCGAGGCCAGACAGTACTTGGTGTATGAAACGCTGAAATGTTTGGCCAGCATTGCGAAGGCCAAATGGCATATAAGTACTCAAAGAGACCAAATGGTGTAGTCACTGCGGTCTTGGGTACATCTTCAGCATGCATTGGGATCTGATGATATGCTCTGGCAAGATCGAGGGTAGAAAATATGTTTGTTCCATGAAAAAGATGGGTACAGTCTTGGATATGTGGGACTGGATATCTGTCAGGGACTGTGACGGCATTAAGTCGACGATAATCTCCACAAGGAAACCAGTCACCATTAGACTTTTTAACCATGTGAAGTGGACTGGCCCCTGGACTTTTAGATGGGCGAATGGTTCCCTGCGCTAGCGTGAATTCAAATTCTTTGCGAGCAGCTTTTAGCATATCTGTAAAAAGACGACGAGGCTTGGAAAATACAGGTGGACCATGTGTTTCAATGTGATGACACACTTCTGGCTGATGAGTATGCTGCCCTGATTTGGATGGGTTTAATGTCAGGGAATTCTGCTAATAACCGATGAAAGCGTGTGCCGCCCGATACAACACTTATGTTGGTAGGTACGTTCGATATGTGAGAAGCTTGGCCCTGTGATGTCAGCTGAGTTGTAGCATCAATTAAGCAATTATTCTTGACATCCACTAGAAGGTGGAAACGTGTCAAGAAGTCGACACCAATAATTGCTTGAGTTACATCCGCAATAATAAAAGGCCAGTTGAAAGTCCGGCGCAAGTTTAAATCAAGTGTCAATAGTTTGGTGCCGTAGGTTGCAATTTGGGTACCATTGGCTGCATACAGTACAAGTTTATTAAGTTGGTGAGCATTTGTTTTAGTTCTCGAGAGCACTGATATGTCAGCTCCAGTATCTACTAGAAAACATAACTGAGTTGAACGATCAGCCAGTACTATTCTGTTGATGTGGCGGACATTCTGTTGGCCAGCAGAAGACCGTCCATTTAGTTTCCCGCTTGTACAAAAGTGCATGGAGGGGCACACTTGCGAGCTTGAGAGCCAAAATTCATATGATAAAAACATATGCCACTTGTGGGTTCTTTGTACTGCGTTCGAGTATTGTGACGAGATTGACTCCTGCTTCGGGGACGAAATTTATTACGTGGGCCCTGATTTGATCGATTGTATCTCCGTGAAGCATGAAGACTTGTAGAGAGTTCAGATACTTTTTTGGTCAATTCAGCCACTTGTTGTTCGAGGGATGAACTGGAAGGTGCAGCATTAGCAACACTGACATAAGCTGGAGTAACAAGTTCATTAATTTTGTCAGCCATTGCTGCTAAACGGGTTAGATCTTCATTGGAAGCAGCAGCAAGAATTATTTGTATGTTATTAGGGAGACGCGAAAGCCATAGTGACTTCAACAAGTCGTCACTAAAATGGCTTCCTGCCAGATCACGCATTCGTGACAGCAAGTATGAAGGTCGCTGATCTCCAAGTTCAAGTCCTTGTAGTAAAGTACGTATTTTTGAAGATTCACTTTCTGAATAGATTTCAGTGAGCCGCTGTTTCAATTTGGAGTATTTATCACAATCAGGTGGTTTGAGAATTAAGTCATGCACTGAATTCAGAATATCAGACTCAATTGCTGCAACTACATGGTTGAATTTTGTAGAATCCTCACTAATGCAAGCGATAGAAAATTGTGCTTCGATCTGAGCGAACCACAATGAAGAATTATTTTTCCAGAAAGGCGGTGGCTTCACCGCGACGCGTGTGATTTGTGGCTCTGGTGGAATATCGTCGGGCATACTGATAGATAATTTTCACTTTAATTAATAAACACTCAACAGCACAAATATTGTAGCATGAGGATACACTATTGATATTTTACCATGATAACAATAAATATTTTAACCATGCAGAAAAAAATTACGTAACGATACACACACAAATAATACAGGGTCAGGAATTACACACACAAATACTATTTTACCGAAATGCATTTGAAAAGAAACCCTTATTTGAGAAAAAAAAATGATGCGTTCATTTTGTATTGCGCACGCACAATATCACCATTTCACACTGCTAAGGCACTTTCGAAGGAAAAAGGAAATCACTCCTGTAGCACATGGGAAAAAAATTTACTACTTTCGAACACTGAGGGAAGAATTTTGCCGTAGCACGTTGCAGAAAAATTACTAATGTAGCACATTTAGCGAAAATCACTATTGTATCACATTTGTCATAAAAGTTTAATGATCGAAGAATTATTGCACGACTGGCAAAGTCAGCGGAACGGAACAGATCACATTGATGATTTGCTGAAGCTCCTTGCGATGATATGCACGACTTTGAAAAAAAAAACACAAGCAATATATATCAATACTTCTAGAAATAATTGAAAGGGTACGTTGTAGCATACGTTTAATGTCCATATTCGTTGTTATTTTTAGTCAGTTCTTCAGAATGCCTTGGATGCACATGGCTTAGGGTCGTTGAAAATCCATTGTCAGTAGCGTGCTCAGTCAAAAGGTCACCACTTTTGGTGGTCGTGTGTGCTTAATGCATGCTATAATTAAAGAAAATAAGAGTAGACAATCTCCTATAACAAAAGAATATATTAAGTACTAAATTACAATTTAAATTACATTGCAGAGATCAACGCAGAGCTCGGAACACTGTTCATGCTACCGCCGCGTACAGTTGTCTCGTGAGAAGTCTGAGTGAGTAATGACGTCGCTTTGCTGCTCCGATTAAGAACTGGATTTTACACGTGGCACCATCTCATGAATAGAAGTTGAAGTATCTGTCGGAACGCCACAAATATTGCCTGTATGATGATAGTTTTACCATGGAATATTTTTCTAGTGAATTTGCATAAAAGAAATACTGAAAGAAAAAAATCGCTGACATAAGATTACAATGTATTGAATTTGGGTGAAAAATTCTGAGCAATATTCATTTGAATTAATTCCTTTGTTATGACCTAGACATAAAATAAGACTTAGTGAGTTAATAATGAGGGGTTTTTTAAGCTTAATAATTTTATAATAAGAATAGCTGTCAATAATTTGAAAAAAAAATTGTGGGCAAAATCTTCAGTTTTCACTTCCAGAGCAGTTAATAAGTGAATGATACTGCATAAAATTGTTACTTTATTGTGAAAAAAAATTCCTCTTTCTCCTGAAGGTGATATGTGGCCTAAAAGTATAAATAATTCTGTTTATAATGGGGTTTTTTTGGGGGGGAGGGTGTATATTTGCAAAGGCACTCAAAACTGATATTGTGAATTTGTTTAACGGGGGGGGGAAGGGGAGGTGATTAACCAGAATAAATCCATCATCTAAGATTGCTCTATGAAATTGTTGATTTGTGGTATATTCTGATAACAAATATTTAAGCATATGACTAATAATTAGTATCTTTAAATTATAAATTATAAAATATAAAAGTATATGATATATTCTATATTTATAAATGAACAGTGCATAACTGAAATAATTTTATGTCAGATTGTAAAATTTGTCAGAACCAAAGTATATTACTCGTGTGCACAAGGTATTGTGTGAATATTGCATATTATGATATATTGTATATTTATAAATGGACAGTACATAACTGAAATAATTTTATATGTCAGATTGTGAAATTTGTCAGAACCAGAGTAAGTTATTACTCGTGTGCACAAGGTATTGTGTGAATATTACATATTGTCTGAACCAACTGATACAGTATTCAGTGAAAATAAATTATCATATTTAATTTTTAGGGCCAGGCTTGGATGTACCTGCACCAGATATGGGAACTGGGGAGAGAGAAATGAGTTGGATAGCTGATACATATGCACAAACAATTGGTAATTTTATTTTCATATTTATATATTTTTTTCAGTTTTTCACCACTTTTCCACGGTGCTTTGTTTTTAACAAATGATACTGCATTTCTATGCATTTCCTTCCATACGTATTTTAGTTTACGCATTTTCTTTCTGTAATTACAAAAACACATTTTTACTAAATTTAGTGTTTCCTTGTCCTGGAACTGAGGTTTATTCATTACTGTTCTATTATCGGGATTGGAGTCATCGCCATATGTTTTGCTTAACTCGCTAAGAGACTGGTTCATATGAAGTAGTCGTTATGTTCTTTTTTAAAAAGTAATAGTATGCCTTTTCAAAAATTGGTATCAAGAATACAAGTTCTAAAGATGTAATAGTCCCTTTCATTTTTGCTTCCTTGAATGAAGTAAAGGAAATATTGTAATCGTGAAAATTTTCAGGTATCCATTTTGACCGCTACTGAGTGCAATTTAATGATGTTTTTGCATGGCATCTGTACATAAAGACAGAATAAAGGACTCTTTTTTCCAAAATGGGTTATAAAATGGGTTCAGAAGATATTTTTTGTGATTTCTGTATATACATACGTATGTATCTCCCATAACTCAAAAACAAGTAGACTCGGAACGTTGCCACTATGTTACTTGGCTCGGTGAGCTGAGATTTTTTTTTTTTTTAAATCTTTTATGCTGGTTACTTTAAAGTGATTGAATTATGTTGTTCTAATTTTCCAGTTAAAGTTTTTGTCTTTAATTAATGCCCATGCAAAAGTTGTAGAATTATCAACGATTTAAAATTTGTTTTAAGTGTGACTAAGCCTAATACAGCACCCATATTTATTTACATTTGAAACTTAGCAGAATAATGAAGTTGGTTTCGACACCTTAAGTGTGTTTTTGCCTAGTGGGACCAAAAGTAAACTTTCGGTTTTGTGCATCGAAAAATCTGCTTTCTTGCCCACTGGCCAAATTGCCTGTTTTTGCACAGAAACGCAAATTTAATTGTGAAACAAAAAAAATTTTAAACTCTTTTAGTTGTATTTGGTGTAAATTTTTCAATTTTTAATGCAGATGTTTTCAGTTTTTATGTATTTTTGCCATGCTGCGAAGCGAGAACTGAATTAATTGAATGAGAAATATATCTCGAAGGAAATTCAAATAAATAAGTTAAAATGCAAAAAAAAAAAAAAAAGTGTTTAATTTAATGGGCCGTACAAGGAAGTCATGGTGTTGTTCACATCAGATTTTTTATTATTGTTCTGGTATGCCTTTTCAAAATTAGCATCAAGAATAAGATCTAAAGATGTAATGGTCACTTCTGTTTTTATTGTGGAAATTTGGAACTTATCCAATGATGAGACATCTGCTGTAAAATTTGGCTGTACTCTTATATGCGCCCTAAGATCACCAAATGTGGCAATATGTGTTTTGAGCTGGTTTTTGGTGCGATTGCGTGTTGTATGGAAATCCTTTTGATGTTGAAAACTCTTTTGCCCGACTTGTTTAATTGCTCGTTGGTTCGTGTCGTGCGGGTTTTGAAATGGCCTAGGTTGCAGTGAGAGAAGTGGTTACAAGAGGGTCTGTTAGATTATTTTTAGTGGCTGTGCATGATATAAGTAAGGAAACGCTGATGCAGTGTATTAAAGAGTGGATTGAGCCTTGTACAACTATTTTTTCGAATAGCTGGAAATCTTACAAGGATTTAGGAAATGGTTTTGAACATTTATTTTTGAACCATAGTATGAATTTTCTGGATAGTGTGTCTAGCTGTCATATAAATATGATAGTGATTACGTGGTAGCATGTTGAAGGCAGTATGAAATTGGTATTTCTGCTGTTCGAAAAGTTCATTCATGGTAAGTGCATTTTATTTTATTATGTTCTTATTTTGCAGAATGTTATGTTCATTCTTTTTTTGGTGTGAATTTCTGTCATTATTGGTGTTCTTTTGAATTGTTTGAAATTTATTTTAGTTTATTTTGTAGATTAGTGCATAGTGCCTAGATTGCAATTCGTAGATGTTTTTTAAAGTTGAAACAGAACGCTGTGTACATGGTAATATTTGAAATTTATTATGTTAACTTATTAAAGCGAGGTGTGAGTAGTCCGCAGATTCGTTCATTGCCTAGATTGTGCAATTTGTAGATGGTTTTTTTTAAAGTTTAAACAGGATACTTTGTACATGGTATTCTTTGAAATTTATTGTTTATGTTAATTTATTAAAGCGAGGTGTGCGTAGTTCGTAGATTCGTTCTTTGCCTAGATTGTGCAATTTGTAGATTTTATTTTTAAGTTAAAAGATATCGCTGTGTACATGGATTCTTGTCATATATTTTGGGTTAGAAACTTTACATTTTTGCTATCTAAATTTTTTGTTTTTGCTTCGGATTTTTAGCTTCAATTGTGAGTTCAAAACGTGGTTTTTGCATGTGCGAAAACCGCGTTTTTGGAGATATTTCAGGCTTAAAGTTCGAAATGTAGACAAAACATTTAGATAGTAATATGGCAGCATGGTGGCGAGAAATTTGTCGCCGCATTTGGCGACTGAGGAAAAATTCACTCTGAAAGTGCACAAAAAAAACCATACAATGAAGCTGTACTTCATGTTGAAGGAAGCACCAAAATGGAAGTGTGAAGTTATGTGTCAAAAAAAAGAGGGGGATTGCATTCTCAAAATTGGTGTTAAGGATCTAGAATCAGTTTCTTAATGGGTGTTCATTTCATTTATGCATGATGTTTTAGAATTAACTTTCCTTGAATTTTGTCAGTATGAACTTTATGTGAATCATTGCACTGTTGTTGATTGGAAGATTTACATGACGGAAGTCTCTGGCAATGCATTAAAGTCTAAATGTTCATTTAAAATAAGCAGCACTGGTAATATTGAAGTTGACGGAAAACCTATTTTAATGTCAATAAACAACGTTGGTCGAATCCTTCCGCCCTGATGGGTGCAGCAGGATTTGCCGAGAAACAAAAGAATAGTCTAGTAGCTGTGCTTAACCGCTCTGCCAGAACTTTAAGTTATTGAAGAAAATATTATTGATGGCACTACAATGTACTTCAACTGTTGGAAAGACGCTGAAGAACTAAAAGTGGCCAAATTTGAACATTTCTGTGTTAGCCGTAAATTTAATTTTTTCGATCCTGATACTGGTTGTGACCATAACCAGTTAGATTCTTATTTGAGTTTATGTGGCAGCAAAAGCGTCTTAAATGTTTGTTTTTCAAACATTTTAGAAGATATCCACAGTTTCATGCCTCCATTCTAATCTCAATTCTCTGATTTTTTTCAACTGTTTTCTATGGCAAGTTAATGTACATTTTGTTGTTATCCAATTATTTTTGTAGAATATCCAATTAGTCTTTTCTGTTGGTTTTTTCCTCCACCCAACCATATTGTAAATATTTTGGCAATTATTTTTATGCTTTGAATTTTTCACCAAATCTGTTTCAATGCATTGTCTAATATAATACATGAGATTAAACATCATTCTGTGATAAATACAGGAAAAAGAAAGTACCTGGTAATTTGAAAATATTTCTACTTTTCATATGTTTCTTTGGTGAGTATTCATAGCATTTTTTTCTTCGCAGTTATAAACTGTGGATTTTTCAACTAAATTTGAGTAGCTGCTGAGAAAAATGGGGGGAGGGGATTTTTTTTTCTTTTCTCTCTTCACCTCTCATTTAATGGAAATTTTCAGACAATTGTGCCAATGAATATTTTTATGTAGAAAATGTTATATAAGCTAGTCAAGCTTTTTCTTTAAAGCCTTTATTTTTTTGTTTTTAGTGCTTACTTTTTGCTTTTACTGCTTTTTTTTTTAAATGAACGTGCATTTTTCCCCGTACCAAAGCCGAAACTAAATAAACAACTTTTCTTCCTAATATGGAATGTCAGATGGTGAATCATACTCCCGGAAATAGCTTTGCCCCCTTTCTCCGCATTAACATAACCTTTGGTGTGTGCGGAGAGTACAGACAGGTGCCCGTCATTCTGTTGGTCAAAGAATTGCGAAAGCAGTAGAAAATTCCGATACATTCGGCATTCTTTTCCTCCCACCCAAATATTGCACACGTGTGAATTTCTATCAAGATCTTAATAGTTTGCATTCTCGTTCCGCTTGGTCAGTTCATATTCGTGTTTATTATGATCATTATGCTTATATTATCAGCATATGTATGAATGTTTATAACATAGTTGCAGTAACTGCTGAAGTATAGTAAACTTCCAAAAATGGTTGTGTTTTAACACAGATTAGCTTTCTAATTAATAATATTCGGAACAGCTTAAATAAATGGAAAGTAATCGAATAGTCAAAATAATTTCATTTTTTTGGCCAACACATTATGCAGTACGAAGGTTGGGAGGTTCTCCTCCCCTTTCTCCGCAAAATCTCGAAAATTGAAACTGTTACAGTTCGCTGCACAACAAACAACGGGCCTTTTTTTTTTTTTTTTTTTTTTTTTTTTTTTTTTTTTTTTTGTCACTTTCCAATAGAATAGGACTAAAAGTTCTACGGCAAGGATGTCAAACTCGCGGCCCACAACAAATATTTTTGCGGCCCGGCCAATATATCGGCAAATAATAATATATAATAATAAAATAACATATCGACGAAGAAAAAAATGAAATGTGTTCTGCTAAGTAATTAATGATAATTTATTCAATGTTGTTAGATTACTCACAGCGAGCTGACACACACACTACTGAAATTACAAATGCGTATGAGTATCTTGTGTTCAGCTACCTTCAGCTTTTGGGGGACACGTGCACTCAGAACTTGTACGCATCCCCCGATAGCCGAATGTGGCCGACCTAATGGTCTCAGTTTTCCAATCATAGTTTTGTACGATATATTGGTGCATGCACTTTGCTTTATTATTAATTATTACTTAATTCATATTGTTACGGATTTCATAGTTTTTATTATTTATTTAGTTAGTTTTTTTTTTTTTAATTTAGAGTTGTAATTAAATTTGCTTCATGTTGCCGTAGCAACGCAGATGATTTTTGAAAAGACAGCTGCGTTGGAAGGTTAAAAAATAGGACCAGCGCGTGCATTTAATACCTAATAAATAAATATCTCGTAATTGCTGTTGCCATCCACAAAAAATCCAGATATTTATAGATGTTTTCCAGTATATTCGAGAAATTAATTATAAAGCTTATAAAAGCCGAGAACAAACAACTCATCTCAGTAGTAGCTGTAGTTATAGCGAACTGTTTGTTTACTTAATGCTGTGATTGATTTGTAGTGATTTCGCTGTGAGATAGAATTAGTTTCTCAGTTTTGAATTGATTTTTGCTAAACGTTTGACATTTTGTGATATTGTTAGAATATTTTTGAAGAAATATTTCAGCATTTTGATTTATCTCTTGTGAAAAGAATAAATTTTTGTTAAATTTTTAACGTTAACAGTGTTTATTCCAGCCCTTTGTATTCAGTATGTCTATATCAAAACCAAGTGGTGTAGTAAAAATTAAACGAAAAAATCGCTGACGAACATATAGAATATTCCAAGTAAAATGGGAATTAGAATATTTTTGCTCTGAAATAAAAGATAAAAATAATCTGCTTGATATGTAATAATATTATTAATGTACCAAAGTTATGTAATATTAAACGTCATTATGAACAACACAAATCGAAATATAACAATTACGAAGGATTAATGAGAGAAGAAAAGTTGAAAGAGCTCAAGTTAGGAGTGAAAAAGCAACAGTCCATGTTTAGTAAAGTATTGCAAGAAAGTGAAGTGGCGGTACATGCAAGCTACGTCTTGTCCGAGTTGATAGCTAAACATTCGAAGCCTTTTAACTGACGATGATTTCATCAAGGAATGCCTAATGAAAGCTGGAGAAATTGTTTGTCCTGGAAATGTGAAGGCTTTTCAATCAATTTCATTGTCTCGAAATACAGTTGCGGAAAGAGTTGCTGATTTAGCTGCGAATTTAAGTGATGAGATCAAAGCAAAATCATTTAGTTTCGAAAGTTTCTCCATTGCCTGTGACGAGAGCACGGACATTAGTGGCAAAGCTCAATTAGCAGTGTTTCTTCGTTCTTCTGACAAGACTTTTAACATTTTTGAGGAATTACTGGAACTAATACCGATGCCTGGTACTACCACAGGAGAAGATATATTTACTTGTGTTTTTGGGACTTCTGCAGAAATACAATCTCTACCTTTGGCAAAATTAAATTCTGTAGCTACAGATGGCGCTCCATCAATGACCGATAAAAACAAGGGTTTCGTAGCATTACTAAGGAAAAAACTTGGTGAAATTCACAGTTCAAACATTCATCATATGCATTGTATTATACATCAAGAAGTTCTATGCACGAAAGTAATAAATATGAAGAATGTTTTGTCATATATAAAAAAGTTATAAATTTTATAAGATCTCGAGGTTTAAATCAGCGTCAATTCACTGCTTTCTTAAGTGAGTTAGATAGTGAATATTCGGGTTTATCCTACTATACTGAGGTACGTTTGTTATCTTGCTCCAAGATTCTCAAACAATTCTGGGATTTGAAAGAAGAAATATGTCAGTTTTTAAAAACGAAAAATCAAGACATAAGTTTGTTTTACAATCCAATATGGATACAAGATTTATCTTTCTTGGTTGATATAACCAAACACTTAACCGATTTAAATTTATCGTTACAAGGAAAAGATCATATCATTACGAACATGTTTGACATAATAAGCATTCAAATGTCCACTAGTTCTTTGGGAGAAAACAACTTAAAAATGAAGATTTGACGCACTTCCCGACTTGCAGCATGAACAAATGAAGTTTAGATGATACTTGTTCGTATCAAAAATACGCAGAAAAAATTGCAAATTTAACAACTGAATTTGAAATGAGGTTTAATGATTTTAGTTCCCTCAAAGACTTTTTTTTTTTTTTTTGATTTTCTCAATAAGTATTGACTCAGTACCCAGCCATATGCAAATGGAGGTGGTCGAGATTCAATGCAACTCAAATTTGAAAGCAAAATTCATTGAAGTGGGCGTGCCTGAATTTTACAAATGTTTACCAGCCAGGTTTGAAAATACTCGAAAATTCGCATATGAAATTATTTCCATGTTTGGTAGCACTTATTGGTGCGAGCAGTTATTTTCAGTCATGAAAGGTAATAAGTCTCCTATTAGAAAACATATTAATGATGCTCACCTTGGGTCAGCGTTGAAAGTTATCACTGCAAACAAAATTTCTCCCGAAATAGGAAAAATAATAACAGAGAAGAGATGTCAAGTATCAGGATGTAAACATTAAATTTTTCTTGTTCTTTTTTATATAAATATATATATATGTTTATAATTGTATTATTCGAAATAAATCTACGTTTCTATGAATTTTGATTTTTTTTTTTTTTTTTTTTCCGGCCCGCCTAAAGTTAAACCTTGTTTGTTTGGCCCAAGTGTACCTATGAGTTTGACATCCCTGTTCTACGGTCTACCAACCCAAGCGAAGAATGATTCTATTCCGGAAATTTAACGCAGTCTGTTGAAAATTAGAATGAAAAACACCCCAGAAGTCTTTCTTTTCCTTTATTTAGTTCTTTATTCTCCCAATACCAACAGCTGTTGAATCCAATTGCATAATATCATGTAGGAAAGAATTACGGCGCACGTATTGTGCAATAATGTTTGCGATATTGTGCAGAGATAAATAATTTTGATGTTCGGTCCGAAACTTGTTTATGAACACTTAAAGAGTTTTACCGCGCTTGCTAAGCAGAATATTTTTCTGTTCCGTTGGTTTGTTTTTATTTGATGCACATATCGAAATGTAAAAAGCATTTATTTAGCGGGAAAATCTAAAGAACGGCTGCTGTCTATCCCCCTCCACTCCTCTTTTTCAAATTACGCTCGACTGTCCGAATATTCGCCAATTTTCAAGTATGCGGGTAGTTAAGCTTTTACTGTTAAAGGATGACTGCATGAAGCAAATTTCTGTCTTCTGATTTCAGAAATGTTCCTCTTTTTTACTTAAATTACTTTGCTTGCAATATCTGTTAAGGAAAAACTGATATACGATGAAAATTTAGAAAATGTTCAAAATTTAGATTTAAATTAGTTAAATATCAATATGAGTGAAAAAATAAATTGTATTTATTATTAAGTTCCAAGCGAATAGAATAAATATACCTTATTATTATTTATTTCCTCTATTTTGAACTGAAATTTCATCATTAAATCTTTTAGTATAGTTTAGTTCTGCATAGTTTTTTTCCTCTCATTGTAAACTAGTTCCGTAAATTGAACTGTTATTTAAAATTTAAAAAAAAAGTAATTATTTTCCATGATTGAGGTAATGCTTATTCTCTCTTAATAAATACTGCATTTCTCATATTTTAAATTATGAGTCTAATTTTTAAAGTTATGCAGTTGTGTATAATGTAATTGGACAGGTGCTTATTTTTTTCCTTAAAATGTGCTTGAAAAGTGCTTATAGGTGCTTATTTTTTTAACTGAAATGCGGCTATGAACCCTGAAACAGTTAAGTTGGGTAATTCTGAATGGATTAAATATCCAACTATTAGTTGCCCTAAAATAATGCATAAAATAAAATCTGAAGTAAGCTACATTTTAACTCGTGAGCATAGTTTTAAGGTACAATATAATAATATATTTGATATTTAAAATTCTTATAATGTCTTTCAGTTTGTATATAATTGCAATACTTTTGAAAAAAAATGGGTTATGAATTGATTTCTTTTTTTATATGTTAAAATAAACTAAATTTAATTTATAATCAATGAATAAACTATTTTTAATAGGCCATACTGATATGAATTCACATGCCTGTGTGACAGGCAAACCTATCAATCAAGGTGGCATACATGGTCGAATTTCAGCTACAGGGAGGGTAAGAATCATATTTTTATTGTTCTAACATATGTTGCAAATATAAAATTGTGTTTTTATCTGTTGATATAATATTTTAAATATATGGCAGGGAGTTTATCATGGTCTTGATAACTTCGTGAATGAAGCAAGCTACATGAGTATGATTGGTACAACTCCTGGATGGGGTGGGAAAACTTTTATAGTTCAAGTAAGTCATTAAATAATGCATGCATGTTTTTATGCCTATGCAACTGTAAATTTTCATCTATATAGAAAATATTTCAATTAAAAATGTAGCTGCATCAATTGTACATATAATTTTTTTAAATAACCCTGTCATAATACTTCAAATTTACTTAGTTTGCTAATTATGGAATAATGATAGCAGGCAATCTGTAATTTGTCATCATTTATGGAGTAATATGAAGAATAAAGAAAACATTTATTGAGTTTTAACTCTTAATCAATTTTATGCCATATTTGCGACTGTTATATTTATAAACGCTCTATTATCAATGTGCTAGTAATGAAGAATTAACGTTAATTTTATAAGAAATTATAAAAACTGAACTCTGTGACACAATAGTCCTAGTCGGCCAAGGGCTGCAGTTCCTCTGAAATCTGCTTTCCTGACCGGGGCCCTGGGGTGCGTGAGCATATGCCCTGGACAAGTGGTCAATTTGTCACTGGACTCCCAGTGTTTAGTCGCCAAGTGAACTTCGTTCATATTTTATCGACCCATTCAAGAGATGAAAGGCTAAGTCAACCATGCCTAGCCTGGAGACGAACCCCAGACCTGTGGTGCTGCTGTGCAACGTGCTAGCCATTCTACCATCAGGCCTCATGAGAAATTTATAACTTAATATTCCCCTCCCCCTTATTATTATTATTATTATTATTATTTATTTTCCAAAAAGCAGCTTTACAAATGTCAGTTGTATTTGTATCTTCAAAATTTACATGACTGTTCAAAATTGTTATGAAAAATATTTCTGCTAACTTTTATTTTGATTTAATGCAAAAAATATCTGTTAAGTTTCTAAAGCTGGAAGTGATATTCTTCAAGTAATATTCTTTGTATTATTAAAGTACGTCACTAACATAGCATAGACAGTACTTTTTGGAGCTTTGTGTCTGAAGTTTTCTACTAATTGTGAATGTCTACATGAATACTGATTAGTATGCTAGCTGCAAGGAAAGGTTTGTGTTTTTTCAAATATCTAAGGGAATAAGAGCTAGTTTCTCTTAAAAAGGTCTTCTCTTGGTCAAATATTTATCTACTTTGTGGTAATCTAAATAATCTATTCCAGGAATTGCTCTTGAATTTTGTACATTATTGTACTGACACAAATGAATATGTGCTAACAACTTGATTTGTAATTGTGATAGTTGTATTGTGATGTAGGTATTTAAAGCTATGTGTATTTGTATTGCAGTATCTATACAGATAATTCCAACAGTTAAGTTTTCCAATTTTATGTTTCTCTCTCCCAGTTATTATGTGTGTATATATATGATGACGATTATGATGCTTATGCTATTTTTTCTTCTTATAGGGCCTGGGAAATGTAGGTCTTCATGTAATGCGATACCTACACAGAGCTGGAGGTAGATGCATAGGAGTTATGGAAGTTGATGGTAGCATTTTCAATTCAAATGGAATAGATCCTCGGGAATTGGAAGACTGGAAGTTGGTAAAGAGCTATGTTTATGTTTAGAAATAGTTCTAAATACATTTTACTCTTTGTATGTTTCATCGTTAATGTGTAGCTTATTGATATAAAGATTATTGTTCATTTTGTAGGTAATAGTTCACTCTGTGTTAATATGGTACACTGCGCCAAAAAAAGGGGGGGCAGTTCTATATCTCCCATTTTACTGGGTCGATTGACGAAATTCAAATTGCGTTTTTCATGTCTCAGCGCGACTTAGTATATACTATACTACATTTATATATAGCACTATTCTAACATAGGTATTTTGACACAAAATTGGACTTTTTCTGCAATAGCATACCGATTTGTTTTACATATTTCAATTCTACGGCTCAAATTATGCTAGGCTGCCAAGTTTTGTAAAAATTGTACGAGTAGTTTTTAAAAAATTAGCTCTCAAAATTTTATCTCAATGTTAATTGAATTTGGCATATATTTATCAATATCTCCTTTTTTTTTTTTTTTTTTTTTTTTTTTTTATGAAACTTTGATTTTTCCTTTCACATTTCGAAATTTAGCTTCATTCCAAATAAAATTCATCCATTTTTTGTGTTTTATTTTTTAAATTTCTATTTTAATAATATTTATAAATTTTTCAAAAAAAATTTTGAATTATAACCTATAAATTTTGTACCATCATCTTAAAGTAGGTGTAGTTCTAAGCATACCTGCAAAAAGTTAGTTTTTTTATTCAAAATTTTCTAAGATATGCATACATTTACATATTTTCATGTTTTGAAATTTGGCATCTTTTTTTTTTAGCGATAATAACGCTAAATGCTATTTATGGATTTTTGTTACAGTGAATTGCAACAGCTATTTTTAACCTTAATTTGAAATAAATTTTTACGTAGAATTAATAATATGAAATTTTTTCCCTCAATGATGTGTAATTAATACTGTATAATAAGCTATTTTTTAAATTATAGATATTATAAAAATTTTTAACTCTTTAAAAATTTTTTTATTCCTTTTTTTTTTTTTTTTAAATATTTGTAAGAGTAAATTTTTACCTTTGCCACGTTATCGCCTGCTACTTTACTTTGACTGCATTTAAATTGAATTGTCTAAAACTGAGAAAGTTCGTTTGATGTTTATTTTCACAATGTTTTTATGCAAACAGGACATTGACAGTTTGGGTTATGTCCCAGCTTTAAAAATTATTATATATAAGTAAATTTGTACATTAATCCTCTTCAAAAGAATGTTTTAAGTAGCTAATTTTCTCTCATGTTATAGATTATATAAAAAACTTGATCTTTAATATGATTTAGATTATCAAAATCATAAAAACCTTGTATTTAGGGTAAGTATATTGAAACACTCAATCGATTTCGAGGGCAGCTAAAGGTCCCCTCCTCATCAGGAGAAAGAAATACCTAGAAAGAAGAAAAGTAAAGGAGAAGGAGTCTCAGAAACACGTGGTCCTTATCAGCACTGCAGGTGTTTATAACCGGATTTTAATCAGAGTTACACTGGCCGCCTACTTTTACTGAGCCAGGCTATCTGATCACGCATGTAACACAAAGTACAAGGAAATTAGCGAAGTTAAGAATAGGGAGTGAGGGGCAACTGCACCTTCACGCTCAAAATCTAAACTTCGAATAATGGAAAGCAACCACTAAACGGATTTTTATACCCTCTGGTAGTACCAAACCTAAGGAGGTAACGCCATCTATCGGCAAAAATAGTAACTGAATTAAGATAGTATAATTTTAAAGGCATTAGGAAGGACTGGATTGGACTTCAAATCATTAACTAAACCTGCTAAATCTTTGTGAATGTGAAAAGCCTCAAGAAAATCCAACTCACCTATAGAAGAAGCCTTTGGATAATTTTGCAGCAGACCCAAAATCAAAATTATGGTTTAAAAGTCCAAATGATACGCTATTGAAGACTTGTTAATTTCGCCTTTTCTGACATAAGATTCATGTTCCTTGATACGAAACTTCAACGCTCTTTTTGTTTGGCCAATATATTTTAAACCACACTGACACGATATACTATAAATTCCCCAAGAATTCAAGACAGAAACGCAATCTTTTAGAATCGAAGGGTTAATTTTATTAATAGGGGAGAAACCGACTTGAAAATTGAATTTCTGGAGAATCCGTGCAATTTTATAGCTAACAGAAGGATAAAATGGAAGCCACGACAAGGTCATTAATATTATTTCTAACAGTGGAATGTCTCTTTGATGGGAAATCAGATAATTTTTTAACGGCTTTATCAATAATCACGGGAGAAAATCCACGGTCAATCGCAACTGCTCTCAAATAATTAAGTTCATTGGTAAGCAAAGATTCAGAGGAACAAACTTTAAGCGCGCGGAATGCATAATAGTAAAAAGAAGCCATTTTTTGCTTAACAGGGTGGTTTGACTTGGCATGGGGTGGTAAACAAACAGCAAAGGGTTTACTGTACACAGTAGTGCTAAAATCAGTTTCATTGCGGATTATAAGAATATCAAGGAAGGGGAGGGCTTTGTTGGATTCAATTTCAAGAGTGAATTGGATGGCTGGATCAATTGAATTTATAATAGATGGAATCTCGGATAAATCCTCTTTATAACATCAAAAAGCGCGAAAGTGTTGTCTACATACCGAATCCAAAGACGAAAAGATAGTTTATCAAATAATTTCATCTCAAAATAGTGCATATAAATGTCGGCAAGTACCGGACTGAGAGGATTACCCATAGCCAATCCTTCAACTTGACGAAAATATGCATTTTGGAAAACAAAGTGGGTTTGACTTAGAGAGACTTTAGTAAGCGAAACCAACTCATTAACTTCAGTATGTGTGAAATGATATTCCCGAAGTCTAGTTTCAAGGCAATTTAGTGCTCCTTCGACCGGAACATTAGTAAACGGTGATTTGACATCAAATGAAACCATAATGGAACAAAGTGGAGAAATGTTTTTAAATTTATCAATGACTTCAACAGAATTTTTTACAGTGTGAATATTGTTAGCAAGTAAAGGAGAAAATCTGGAAACTAAATATTTGGCCAAAGGATATGAAGCAGTACCTATGTTGGAAACAATTGGTCGAAAAGGAATACCGGTTTTGTGGACTTTTGGAAGAGCATAAAGCCTGGCGCAATTAGTAATAGATGGAATAAGTGATTTCTTCAACTGCGTTGACAGAATATGAGAAGATTTGATAATACTTTTAACTTTCGTGAGGTCCGAAGTTGAAGGATCTTTAGGGATCGAGCAGTATAGGCCTTCATTTATCAGTTTAGAGACTCCAGTAATGTATGTGTTCATAACAACGATCTGTCCGCCCTTATCAGCTTTAGAGATAATGATATTAGTATCAGAATGAATTTCACGTAAGATCTCATTTTCCTTTTTGCTAAGATTCGAACCCAAAGATTTGTTGTTAAAATTAACGTTATGAGTAATTGGGTGGCGGATTGTATTCTTCTGCATTTCCGAAATTTTGGAGAATTTAAAGGCTTTCTTGTATAGTGGCGATGATTTGAGGAATTGAAGGTTTAGATGTCTTTGAAAAGTTGAAATTATATTTTAATACTTTTAACTGATCCTCCGAAAGATTCCTATTGGAGATATTAACGATGATTTAGATTGTTTGTACCCGATATAATAATTGAGTCACTCAGTGGTACAGAATAAAACTGCTGAACTGTTTTATTTCTTTGTCATTTAGCAAACAATCTTTTATTTAAAATATTTATTCTTTGAACTTTGCTTTAAATTTTATTTTTAGTTAAAATGCATGGAAAATGAAAAGCTATCTTTAACTGAAATGCAGTTGATGTAATTGATATTTTAAAAAAATTGACCAGAATGAAAAATTTATGGAAGTGTAAAAATCTTAATTTTCTTGTAGTGAGCACTGAAAATAAATGTAGAAGGAAAAAAGAAGATTAGGGAGAAAAGTGAGCAAAAATTTGAAGGGGAATTTGGCTGTCTGAAATACCAAGGTGTTTCGAAAAGTTGGATGCTTTTGAATATACTTTCAGAATACTTCAAGGAATTTGGTGTTCAAAGGCAAAACACTTGGACGCATACACCAGCAAATACCATCAATTGAGCTTGTGCTAAGGAAAACAATATCATTGCAAATTAAAGTGAAGAGCAACTGGTTTTTGACTATATGTTTGTATAAATTTAAATTACGTTATAGAACATCATATCATCATAAACAAAGAATCCTATGATTTCTTAGTCGAATTATTTGAATATTCAGGAATTTATCCAGTGATGTATGTGGATGTCACCTAAAGATATTTTCCCTATTGATGAAACCAGTTTTTTCTTTCATCTCATGCCTTCAAAATGCTTAGCCTCTAAAGACTGATAAAGGCTTTTGACCAAATACTGATGAAATGGATTGAATTGGATTATTAAGTTACAGCAAAGGAGGGCTATCTGCCTATAGGAGGGATGCCTTCATGAAGAACTTTCTAAAGGAAACCATCTGGCATATACGTTACAATGAGAAAAAACCATAAAAACGCCCATACAACCAGCCCGTTCACCGGAATTCGAACTCCGGAGCGAACTATCAGTGTTTAGCGACCTTTACCGTTCGGCCGTTTGTGGGCCTTTATGAAATGGAAGGTGATAACTTTATTTTAAATTAATGTCAGAAATACCAAGATGTCTTGAAAAGTTGGATGCGCAGTTTGAATAAATAAATAGAAAGTTTTAAAACAGTTATCTGAAGAGATAATGCAACACAAACAATTAAAATAAAAGTCTCAAAATTTAAAAATTACCTAAAATAATAACTACAGTCAAAAGCCGTTAATTCGGACACCCATGATCCTGAATGATCTATAATCCGGACCTCAAAGCTACAAACTTTCTGCGCGCGACGCATGCTCGTAAGACCTTTACGGCTGCGTATAATACGTTTACGAATGCGCGTTTAATGTATAACGGATGGTATAAGCTAAAATTATCTAATTATCTATTTCAGTTAATGTTGCAGATTGCATTGTTCCTTAATCTTCGAATTGAATCCGGCTTATTATTTTTTGCAGACTGTTAGAGCAATTTTATAAAAGTAAGCTTGAACTTTCGATTATGTCAAATAGAATTTCCTATGCTGGAACTGCCAAAGGATCTACAAAGCAAAAGTATGTTTCGATGTCTATCAAACAAAAAGTGGATAAAGGCATATCCTTTGTTTCTCTAACCATTCCTAAATCTGTTTATCAATTTCACACTGCTCTGGGGGAAGGGGGGACATCGCGGCGTGCAATGAATTGGAAGTTGATTTGTGAGCACTATCCTTATCTTCAGGGCAGAGGGTTTTTATTTTATTTGGCTTATAATTCCTTACTAAATATAGTATTTCATCTCGATGTACTCCATCTTTGATATGATTTAAATCAAATTCCTCGTCCTTATAATTCGCTTCCGATAGTGAAGAAAGTGACACAGAGATTATTGAAAACGAAAAAATTTCGAGTGACAAATTAGTCGTATTCTCGACACAGTAATTATAGGAGTTGAACAGCGGAACTTTGTAACTGAATAAGAAATTATGTCTGTTTATAGAATGAAAGAGAAAGTATTATCACATAAAACGAAGCAATTTAAACAACTTACATTGAAAGAAATGTTTAATAAAGGAAAAAAAAAATTAAGCTTTTTTTTTGTAAATTTTGATACCCTTTAAATCATAATTGTTCTTTATTTCATAAATTACAGTTTCATATTTTGAATTTCATAATTTCTGCATGCCATCTTACTAGATTTAAACTGATGATCTATACTAAGGAAAAATCGATTTTCCGGAATCGCCAAAGTCCCGACGAGTCCGGATTAACGACTTTTGACTGTATAACAAAAAAATAAATCAATAAATTATAAAGAAAACTATTTAAAAGTAATAAACGATGCACCTTTTATTTAAACTATGCTGTTTAAATGGGTAAATAGAAATTTTTAAAACAGTTATTCGAAAGAAACCATTCAAATTAAATAATTAAATGAAATTCGAAAAAGAAAAAATTACTTAAAATAATATATTGTAATTTAAAGTATAATATAAAGAACATTATTTGAAAAAAGGAAGGATTGTGACTTTTTTCCAGTCACGCGAAAGGAAAATAGGTTGCCATATGTTTAGAAGTTCACCAAGTGAACTATTCTTGGTGCAACTGAAAAAAAAAGTGCCAACATAAATTTGTGAATTTCTCCATAAATTTAGCTCGCGCTTTCGAAACGAGACGTGAAGAACGCAATTTGACTTTTGTCAATTGGCCCAGTAGAGCGGAAGATATAGAACTGTCTTCCCCTTTTTTTTGCAGAGTGTACATATAATTGTAATACAAAAAGTAGGATAATTACAAAAAATTTTCTCTCATCTTTTCTTTTTTAAACATTTCTGCAAGATGTTTAACTCGGAGAGATAAAGTTTGTTTTCGAAGATGGATTTCATTTCTTAATAAAATAAAAAGTATTGGCACTTGAGGAAAATATTTTTTGCAAGCCGTGTTTTCAGGTAATCTAATGAAATAAGCACATAGCTGAATCTTGAATAATTAAGTCTGTTTATTTAATAAGGGCATGCATCACCATGTTGCTTTAATTTATAATGAAATAGTATCATAGCAATTTTTAGTGCTCTCTAATTATCTGCATCCCTACCGAAAAGTCAAGATCTTATTGGTGGCTTTGAAGAGCATGAATTTGTTGCCAACTAATCATTCATCTAGCTAATGCACAAAAGGCAACGGACATTTTCATTAGTTTTTTTCATTATAGATAGGCAATAGATTTTTTCATTAAAGATAGGCAATAGATTTTTTTCATTATAGATAGGCAATAGATTTTTTTCATTAATAATGTAGAATTAATTCTTTTACCTCAAAGGAAAGCAGATTTAAAGTTTTAATTACAAGAGGATTTATTCAATCTGTATTCATGTATAAGTACATTTTGATCTCTAAATATATTCTAGTAAAGTATTTTCAAATAATATATATCTACGTGAAAGTTGGAGTTCTTAAATTTTTAGGTTTTTCTATCAGTTGCATTCGGAGAAAAGTTAATGATGAATGAGAATGGTCAGGTAATAGCACTCTGGTAAATTTGTTTTGTTTCTTTTGGAAAAAGCTGTAGTTTTTGTAAAATTTCAGAACTTAGTCGTGCCTCTTAGTATAGAAATAAACTTAATATTTTCATTGTTTTTATGTTTATAATTAAATAACACAACCAACTTCTGATTTATGGAATCTAAACGTAAGATTTCTTTAAATAATGATAAAATTTTTGGAAGTATTACAAAGAAAAAATGAATTTCTCATTCACTTTCTTTTGTGTTTCTCACAAATATATCTTTAAAAATACTTGTATAACGTATTTTTTTTTATGGCTGAAGATTCCATATTTTCAGATAGTAAGGTTATTAGTTTTGACAAGATTTGAGTAGACTCGTCGGTTGCATTATAGAATACTTTAGAGCAGTAGGATTTAGAAATATTTTAAAATAAGATTTGAATTAATTTCTTATATTCCGAATTGGTTTTTCATATTTCTGTCTTATGGTCTAAATTTAGCACACGGGTTAAGTAAGTTGACTTCAATTTCAGTTTTCAGACTGTTTTTATTTAAGCTTAGGCTGTATCTGTAACTTAAAATTTATTTTTCATTTAGCGCTTACAGTTTTTCTTAGGTTAACACCTCTTCATTTGAACTGTAAAATTTGTTTCTTAAATAGTTTTTTTTTTTTTTTTTTTTTTTTTTCTTAAATATGTATTTGCTTTTGCAAGTTGCCTCATTTCAGGGAAACTTTTCTTTTTACAGATCGTAGTTTAAAATGAATACTGTTTTTTGAACATTCTCTTAACATAGGCTATGTTCAATTTAAATTTACAATTTTCTGTACGGTGTTTCTTCTTATTTTTCAAGACTCTCCTTTTTTAAGTGGTTTTACAGGACTGTCTCTTTTAATTCTTTAACTGAGGCTATTTTGAATTTTTCCTATTTGCCCTTTTTCTTAGTAAAACTTTTCATAGTTCACAGGTTTTTCTATTTGTATATTTTGAAAGCAAAATTTTTATCACGTGTTTTTGTAAAAATGTAAAATATTTCTATTTTCATTTTTGTGTTAGAAAGCTAAGATAAATAGGGAAAAGAGACAATTCAATGAGACTTCTAATTGTAATTAATTGACTAATTGATTAAGTATTGCGCTTACAAGTCTCAGTGAAAAAGTTAGAACGAAATTTGTCTTGGCTGTTTTATTAATCAATCAAGTATGGAGCTTCAAAACACTTTTTCCTTAACAAGGTCTGTTATGAAGCTCCAAACAAGGGAGATTAATTTTTGCAGAATTGCCCTCTTCTTTATTAATTATTTCATTCAGATCAATGTCTTAGTGTGTGTCCCCCCGTGTAGTTAATGTATGAATTTGCTTGATACAATTCATGTTTTCTAGCTAATGAGTTAGATCTACAATACTTTTAAACTTTAATTTAAAATGCTCTGGAAATAAATAATAGGTGTCTTTTAAATTTTTCAGAGAAAGAGTTTTGTTAAATATGCTTTGCCTGATTTTAATAAGCTTTTATAATTCAAAACTGCTTTACTTGCTGTTATATGCTATTGCCCCTCCCCCCAAAAAAAACCTGATCTTTTTACTTATTTATTTATTTTAAATCTACATTGTTGTTACATTACCAACATATTGATCATCCACTTGGTCTAACTGCCAGTAAATAGAAGAAATTAAAATTTAAATAATGCTCTGCTTTAGATCCAAATATTTATTAAAATATATTATAAAATGTTTTAATATTTTTTATATATATTTTTTAAATGATGTTTAATTTGAATATAAGGTGTAACAGAAATAATGCCCTTTCTTCTTGAGCTAGTAATCTACAGGATCAGAATTGTAGATTTTTTATAGAAAATTGTGAGCATGTAATAATGAAGGACATACATGATATTTTAGGGAAACCTGTTCAAAATGCTGTTCATCTCATGTTACTACATTACTTAAAAGGGCATTACTTCTGGTTAGTTTTCCTATATTGTCATTTATTAGAGTTAAAAACTTATTTCTGTTAGAGTAGTTGTAAATACTAATTCAGAAGTCCAACAACAAATATCAGCGTTATATTTTCAAATTTTCACAGGACTTGAGTTTCGATGGTTTTACCGAATCATCATCCTCAGCTGCAAAAGCGCAAATGAACGAGATAGGATATAATGATTTAATGAGATAAGAAAGTCTGGACAGGAGATAAGCTAATAGTGCCATCTGTTGATGAAACCAGAACGAAAACATAATTTCCTTAAAGGCCGAAGGCTCTCTCATTCATTTGTGCTTTTGCAGCTGAGGATGATGGTTCGGTAAAACCATCAAACCTAGTTCTGTGAAAATTTTAAAATATAACGCTGATTTTTGTTGTTGGACTTCTGAATTAGTATTTGTTCACCGTGTTATTGTGTCTTAATTAGTTGTCAATATTTTTGAAGTTTTGAGTTCTTTAAATCATGAAATATTTACCTAATATAGGCCAATGGTACAATTGTTGGATTTCCTGGAGCTGAACCATACACAGGAGAAAGCCTTCTGTATGAACCATGTGAAATCTTAATACCTGCAGCTACTGAAAAAGTTATCACAAAAAGTAATGCTGATAGAGTGCAATGCAAAGTATGTGCTTTATTATTATATATTTTGCTGTATAGCTAAATATAAAAATGGACTTCATTTAATCTTCTTAAAACCTTTAGTCTCCCGTATAACACAAATAATTCCAACTGTCATTAATAAATGCCATAAAATTGTTAGTAGCATTAAAGATTTTTGACAAGACTAGTTCTTAAAAATTTTGTATTGTTGTAGTTGTTACATTTCTAAATTATTTAAAGATGAAAAACTTGTAGGATTTTAAAAGGTAGCTTATAAAGTAACCAATGAAAGATCCTCATTTCATATAGTTTATCGTTTTTTGAGTTTACAAAATATTTTTCTCGGTAACCTATCGATGTGTATGTTTTCGAATGATTTTGCAGTTTATTACATACTTTTATTTAATGAAGAATATGAAACTGTTAATGTGCAGTCAAAAAAAAAAAAAAAAAAAAAGGTCCTGACTTAATACAAAATGAAGAATTTGGCTGTATTTTATAAAAGATATAGATTCATTTAATGTATATCATCTGCAGAATCATCGCTTTTGTGACATTGCAAATTTAAGAAGTGTATGCCAATATACCAAGTACTAAAAAGAATTGTATAAAAATAATATGTATATAAAATATATGCATGGATGTCAAATTTAATGTAATGAAATGTAATCAGTATTAGATTCAGTATGATGAAATACAGAGCAACTAGCATTGTTTAGAGCAAGGTTTTTTAAAGTGTGGGTCGTGACCCCCATGGGGGTAGTGGGAACTGCAGCAGGGGGTCAGCAAATTTTTTTATATATATTTAACTCATTATATTTTTACACCATGCATTTGAAAATAAAGATAAGACAATACAGATAAAGAAAAAATGAAAACCTTTCGACGCATTCTTTTTATAATATAAAAGTTCATTTTACTTGCTTTGGACATGACTGTCATTTTGTCTGTTACTTATTTGAAATTTTCACATTGTTGTATATCTTAAAATTAGAAATTAAAGTTAATGAATTGCAAAACTAAGAACTAAAACTGCAATAGTATATTACAAGTGAAAAAACTGACAGTTTTGCTCATATGTGTGTAGGATTTGCGCAATGTTTATGGGATCCCACAAAATTTTCATAAATATATTGGGGTCCTGGGGTCACAAAATCTGTGTTAAAAACGGGTTGCGACTGACAAAAGTTTAAGAAACCATGGTTGAGTGAAACCTGTAAAGAGAACAGTAAAAGCTAGGTATGGAAGGTTTCAACTTCTCGGATCTGTGCTTGAGATGAAAAGTAATTGATGAAGTTTTTGAAGTGAATGCCTTAAAAAAAAAATATCGCAAAGCCACATGATATATATCTCATGAGGCCAAATTGTTTTTGTATCATTTTCTTTTTAAAAGCTCTGATTACAACTTGATATTAAGCTCTTTTTGAAAAAGAATTTTCCCCAGATTAAAAAATTAAATGTTTTTGGAGTGGATTGGTTCCAGCAGATTGCAGATTTTATATGATCTAGTTAATCGTTGAGATAAAGTTATACTTATAGGGTCGTCCGTATTAAATGTGTGGACAGACTGCTTGCATAGACTTGAACTTTTTTTTTCTCTTCCCTTGAGCTAAAGATAAGGTCTATTACTTGGTCCCATAATCAACTGAGTTCCTTTGAACAGCCATTATTAGTACTTTTAATAACCTCTGTAGGATTTTACCACAGAATCATCGATAGTAAAAGTCATCCATAATTATATTGAGTACTTACGTGTTACCACAGAGTATGGATCTGACTTCAGCAGCTTTTCTTTCATTATTCTTTAGCGAATGCTCAGTCTTATTTAATACATCTTTCCGTTAACAATGATGTGGAGGTAATTGCATTTATTTGCAAAGGTACTTTGTAAGAAAACAACTTGGTCCTTAGTAGAGAAATCATCAGATTTTCAGGATGTGCCAAACTCTGGCAACCATGCACATAACAGTTCTTCAGGCAACCATACTCATAGCAGTTCTTAAATCAAACAACATTGCCATTTTCATATGCATTCTTTTTGTTGTGTTCTAAGTGGTTTTTATAGTGTGAAATGTTTTTGCCTTAAATTCAATTTTAAAATATGCACCATTGCCATTTTCATATGCATTCTTTTTGTTGTGTTCTAAGTGGTTTTTATAGTGTGAAATGTTTTTGCCTTAAATTCAATTTTAAAATATGCACCTCTGAATTTGCTGGCAGTGGGAAAAAACTGCAGTAAAGTTTCTGCAGAAAAATAATGTTTTGCTGCAAAATCGTAACAGGAACAAATGCTTTGAATGTGATAGTAAAGCAATCGCTATTAAATTTCCACCAGAACAAAGCCTGTTTGTTAGTAGTTTTATTAATATTTTTTGGTCTTAATACCTAATTGAAATAGAAAATATATATGTAATTATATTCATGTATGTAATAAGTAAATTCTCTCAACTGAATAGAGTGATGATTTAATATCATCATTCTTCTGCACCTGTAAGAAACTGCCAAATGGCACCAAGGTAGTTGCGTTAATACATAAGTAACATATTTACTTTTTTTTTTTTTTTTTTTTTTTTGTCTAAACTAGTAGGAGCAAATTCTGTAAGTTGGAGGGCAATTTTAAATTATGTCTTGCAGTTGTGGGCTGTACTGCAGTAAATTACATTTAGCAAATATTTAAGAATCTGTGCCCGAATAATAATCCTTTATTGGTGAGAAAGGAATTTTGCTGAGGTATGTATGGGAATGATCCACTACATAACTGGGATGAACACCAATCATTTCAGGTTTCGTGTAGTACTAATTTTAAATAATCTTTGTGTAGTCCCTGTTGTGATTAAAAATATGAAAATTACACAAATTTGCAAAATTTATTAAATAATAAATTTTGTTATGAAAATATATAGTAGCCATTATTTCATTATATAAAAATATATTATAGCCGTCAGTAATCTAAATCATAATTATTTTGTACAATGCAATGAGTATATAAAATTATTATTTTAAATTTCATAAAAACACTGTATACAGTTGAGTAAAATGATTATTTTAAATTGTGTAAAACGGATTATCATTGAATCTGGTTTATGCATTTGTTTGGATGAGTTTATTTTCTAAATTCAATAATTCATTCAACAATTTCATCGACTACGAATGATTGTCAAGTTTTATTACAAAAGAGTTTTAGTTGTTTATTTTTCAGTATAAATGCATAAGTAAGTCCTCTAAGATATAGAAATTTTTTTAATTTATATCTCAGGAATCCACATCATAGGCTGTTTTTTATGACATTCTTTATTCACGTGCTGGATTTTTTTTTTTTTTTTTTACGTAACTTTCAGATTATTGCTGAAGCTGCCAATGGACCAACAACACCTGCTGCTGATAGAATATTAATGGATCGTAACATTTTGGTTATACCTGATTTATATATTAATGCTGGTGGTGTTACTGTCTCATATTTTGAATGGTTGAAGAATTTAAATCATGTGAGCTATGGCCGACTTTTGTTTAAGTATGAACGTGATTCCAATTATCATTTGTTAGGTATGTTTCCTTCAATTATCATTTAAATTAAATTCTAATGCTCCTTTAATGTGTGCTATTTTTTACATAAACTTTCTGTTAAAAGTCATTTGGAAAAAACTGGTTTTAAGATGAATTAAAAAAAGTATGTAAAAATATAATAAAACAGATAAGTGTTTTTAACAGCATTCTGTCTACTAACATCATAGTATTAAGTCCATTTAGAGTTCACATACAGTTTTTCGTGGATCATTAACAATATTCCCCCCCTATCTGAAATTTAAAGTCTTCAAATTTTTTATTTCATGGTGAAATATTAGACAAAATATTCTGTTATGAAACCTGTTATCTTTCTGATAAATAATAAATAAAAATATTTTTTATACTTACAAAATTTCAGAAATATAACTAATAATACTAAGAAATATAACTAATAATACTATGTGGCATGCACATTTTGTATGCAACGATGAATCTCAAGCACTCTTATTTTCAGCCATTAAAAAATTCCATGACTGCTCTTCACAACATTTGAAGGCATCCATGATACGAATGGTACAGTTAACCTTGCTCCTACACTATCACAGAAGCTTCTATTGTATTCCCAGCACTCGGTGCCCTCTGTAAGGGCATGCATATTTTCTATATCTTAAAAATATGGTGCTATCACGGCAGTGCCACTTTCATTTGGGAAACTCGTATAATTTCGCCATTATAGAAACTTCCTTCATTTAAAATTATTATGTAAGGTGAACTAAAATGCTGTCTTTACTCTTTCCTCACCACTAATGCAAGAATAAAGTATAAAAATTTTCAGCACTCTTGTATAGTACTGCAAGGAATATAATTTGGCTTCTCTTTTATTACACTAATTACCTGTTTTTTGAATCTTTTATTGCAGTAAAATGTATATTTAAAACATATCTTGAATAATGAAATAAAGCATCTACTATACAAGCATTTATTGCATTAGTTCAATATTTACTTATTTTTAATATTTATAAAACTTTACAAATGTGCATTGATTTTATTGTTACTGATATAATTGAGATTATACGGAAAGTTTGTGTTTTAATTATTGCAAAAATTATAAGGAGCCTCATCAAAATGTCGTTTTCTATTTTAGTCTTCTGTATGCGACTTACTTGCTCTCCCTCCTCCTCGGTTCCGGTAAAGTAATGTTTGGGAAGTAATTCTTTTCAATTTCATGCATCATTACAATGCAACCAATTAACTGATTGATTAAAGGAATTATTATTACAGTTGAAATGAATGAAGATTGGAAAATCTTGAAAGTGTGAGTTAATTCCTGTAAACAGGACCCGTAACACACATGGCTGAGCTTCACATAGTGAAGCACAAACATGATTTCTACATTATTTGATGTAAATGAAAAAATGTCAGTGAAATGATGTTGCATAAATTTGAAGAAAATAAAAGGTTTTTTTTATGCTGTTACATTAGGTTAATTGGGACAGGAACCAGATTGTATAAGCCAAAATTCAAAAGTCCGTTATAAATTAGTAGTGCCATTATGAGCTATTGTGAAAACTTTCAAACCTCAGGCAGTAGAAGAGTTGTCAGTTTATATATATAAAACTGATGGTGGTGTCCTAATTTATACATTTAGGGCAAGTCACTGAAGCTCGTTATTTCTCTTCAGTTTTGGAATACAATCTACAATAAATTTTGAAGAAAATGGCAACACTTTCTTTAGAATCCATCCTTAATTTAGCACAATAAGCTGTAGCTGATAAGTTCAGTCGATGGGGATGAGAAGTGTTCTCCATCATATATACTGCCAAGCCTTACCTCATTCGCAAGCTAAGAGAAACACTTTTTGCAATTTTCTTCAAAATTTATCCAGAGATCCATCACTTGATAGACTGCTGCATTTGAACTATCAGCAGAACAAGTGTTGTCGATGACATACTATAACATATTGTTTCAAGATTTTTTAATGTATAAATATCGCCCAAATGAAAGTGTAACAAATGATTAAAGTAAGTATACAAAATAAAAAGTAATACATATGGAACATATAGGCTAGACATACTTGCCTTAGAGGTTAAAATATGTGTCCATGTGTCCACGAGATGATGGATACCCTGGGTGAAGAAACTTCTGGGTTGGGTGTGCAACCAGGTTTCAACAGCAGCTTGGATCTTATTTATTGTCTACAAATTGTTGTTCCTTCAGAGCTTTCTTGAGTGGACCAAAGACTTGGTAGTCATAAGGCCAGGTCTATAGGGGATACATTCCATTGCATTAACAATGTTTTACACGCAGCAGCCATATTAGGACAAGCATTAACATGTGAGAGAATAACCCCACATGATAGCATGCCATGTAGATTGTTCTTGATTTTTTTTCGCAGTAAATGTAATGTGCCATAGTAGCTGGTAGCATTAACAGTCTTGCCCGGAGTTAGCCATTCCAAAAGCAATGGGCCATCAACACTGAAGAAGCATGTAAGCATGACTTTTCCAACTCTGAGCCTTCTTTGGCCATGGAGATGAAGGGTGTGGCCATTCCGTACTGATGCGTTTGGTGGCCAGATCAAAGTGATGATACCTTGTTTTATCAGCAGCAATAATTCAAGAAAGGAAATTGTTCCCTATTCCATGATAACACTTAAAATTTTTCATGGAAACACCCATGCAGAAAATCTTCTGCTCCTCTATTACATGTTTCAGAAGCAATTGCATGCAAACCTTTCAGTATTGCAGTTTTTCATGCAGAAGTGTAAACACTTCCTTTGCTCATAGACATTCCATCTGCCATCTTGTGAGTGATGATTCGTCAATTATTTCTCGCGAGACTGTCCACAGCTGCAGTTGCTTCCTGGGTGATAACCACGTGTGCTTGACTGCTGATGCCCTACCATGGGTACTGCTTCGGTCTTTACGAAAATCACTACACCTTCTGAATGCAGATCTGCATGACATACACTATGTGGCATGCACATTTTGTATGCAACGATGAATCTCAAGCACTCTTATTTTCAGCCATTAAAAAATTCCAAGACTGCTCTTCACAACATTTGAAGGCATCCATGATACGAATGGTACAGTTAACCTTGCTCCTACACTATCACACAAGCTTCTATTGTATTCCCAGCACTCGGTGCCCTCTGTAAGGGCATGCATATTTTCTATATCTTAAAAATATGGTGCTATCACGGCAGTGCCACTTTCATTTGGGAAACTCGTATAATTTCGCCATTATAGAAACTTCCTTCATTTAAAATTATTATGAAGAGGGCTATCCATAAAGAAATAAACAAAATAAGACTTAAAAGTTACCATAATTTCGTTTTCTATTCATATGCTGTTGCAGAATGTATTTGTTTTAATATGGAATTTGGAAAATTTTTTAATTTTATAGAACATTTATATGAATTTAAAATTTTTATAATGATATTTAATCTTGAAATTGATTGAGATACTACTTGGTTATTTTAAATAATAAATTGACATATGCATGACATTTTTTTAATGCAGAAAGTGTTCAGGAGTCACTAGAAAGGAGGTTTGGTAAAGCTGGTGGACGCATTCCAATAATGCCGAGTGAAGCATTCCAGAAGAAAATTTCTGTAAGTTATTTTCAATGTTTACATACTAGGGACTGTATGGGAACTAATAAATTCCATATTTAATGAACAAAAGAAGAAATTGTTTTATATTCTTTTATGTGTACAAGTTGTTTATAAAAGGAATGTTAATTTTCTTTGTAGCCAAATTATTAAAAAAAATTGTGATAAAATAAATCTTTTGATATAATAAATATAATAATATATCTTTTATGAAGATTAATTGTATTTTTATATAGTCTGTTCCTATTTTATTGAAATTTATAACATGCACATATAGTCCAATGGTCAAACTGCAGCTTATGGAGCATTTTTATAATTGGCATTGTTTAAAGTGGTTATTTGTTTTTTGATGTAATACACAGTAAAAAGCTACACTGGTGTGCAAAAATTAAGGACGAAGTCGAAAAATTAGCATATCAGCTGAACGAAGAGGCAGAGCGGACAGAAAGACCAATCAGGAGATTAAGTAAGGTGATGTACGGTAGCACATGTGCAGATATGCAGGTAGACGTAATAGAGGAGTGTCTGAGTAGTATAAAGCATGTTGTCGGTGTAAGATCAGTATTTCTCGCAAAGAGATTGCACGCCGTATAGCAGTTAAAATCACACCGAGTTGCTGCCTTAGCGAGAAATGGCGAATAATCAATCTGTTAGACGACATCTGGATGCTTTTACCTGAGGTTGAATCATTGGGGGAAGTTGGAGGAAGGCTGCAGTGTGGCTGCAGAGTTCGGAATTGCTCACAGCATCGTTTCACGACTTTGGAGACAATTTCAAACTACAGGAACAGCTATCAGGGGGTTTAGTAGTGATCGTCCACGAGGAACCACACCCGCAGATGACCGGTATATTGCCTTACAGGCCAGAAGAAACAAGCGGCAGACAGCGGGAGAAATCGCTAGACACACGACACAGGCGACTGGACGACAGATATCACGTTTTTACCGTTGGCCAGAAGACATGCACGGTGGTGGTCTGTTTGCACGACGTCCCTGTACGGTGTGTACCTCTAACGCCTGCCCATCGGAGAAGGCATTCTCTGTGGTGCGGGAACACCGGAATTGGAGAGACAATGAATGGGGACGAGTACTCTTTACAGATGAGAGCAGATTCAGTCTGAGTAGCGATTCTCATCGCATACTCATCTGGAGAGACAGGGAAAGCCGCAATCACCCTCGAACATCATTGAAAGGGACAGGTATGGAGGTGGGCGGTGTTCTCGTTTGGGGGAGGCATCATGCTTGGTAGTTGTACAGACCTTCACATTTCGCAGGTTTCAGTCAACGGACCCGTTATTGTAACGAGATTTCTTTCCATATGTGAGTCTTTTTAGAGGCGCTATGGGTCCGCAGTTCTTTTCATGGACGGACAATGCACCATGTCATCGCACAGTAGCTGCCGAACAGCTCTTAGAGAGTGAGATATTGAACGTATGGAATGGCCGCCACGCTCCGGATCTCAATCCCATCGAGCATGTATAGGATTTTCTAGGCAGACGCTTGGCAGCTCGTACCTTACCACCAGTAACAATTCCGGAGCTTCGATTGGCGCTGCAAGACGAATGGCAGCAATGCCTCAACAACTCATTGACACCCCTCATTCTCAGCATGGGCAGACGCTGTGAAACCTTCTAGCATCAGGGAAGATCATATCCCCTATTAAAGACCGGATATTTCTTGCTGACACCCATCACAGGGATGTTCGGCCTTCAGTCGCATTGCGCTCCATGCTATTCTTCATAAAGCTGCTTTTTATCCCTTTGATTCGTTTAGTAAGTGTTGCTTACATTACTCATGTCCTTACGTATTGGGGATCTTACGGTATTATGTGTTGATTTGGAAAGCTTTTGTACAAAGTTATGTTGAAAAAACCGTCTCGTCCTTAATTTTCGCACACCAGTGTATTAGAGAATACTACTGAAAGAAATGCAAAAAGACAGAGTTTCTGAAACTGCATTGTACATCTAGTTTTCTAATCAATTTCTGAAATTTGTACCATTGTCATTAATTAAAACTGCCATTTATTAACTAATTTCAATTTTGGGAGATGGTGTTCTTGTGAATCTTTTTCATTGTGATGTTCTTTAACCTTTTCCTGGAGGCTGGGACACTAAGTATACTTAGTAAGGCTGGGCCTAAGTATACAGCAACTGGGGGCTTGGGACAGTTTGTCGTTGGTGCCAGGGGTAGAAATTCTAGCTCTTGAGGCTTGATGACTTTTTTATGACACCCCGCAGAGTGGGTTCTTTTGTGGGATTCCACTAATGGATTGGGAAAAAATGTCCTGTTTTTAAACCACATGGCTTGTTTGCAAATTTGGTATCTTCCAGGAAATATTTTGTTGAGAGAAGAAAATAAAAAGAATAATTTGTTACTTCAATTCTTAACGCGTTAGTGTTTTCAGGATTTTTCCTGTGCAAATACAGTTACTATTTCTTTCAGTTGATATATATATATATATATATATTATATATATTTTAGTTCAGTTTTAAGTAATGGCTAAACGTAAAAGATGCCTAATGAAAGAAGAAATTTCGAATATCATCGCGTGGTGGGATGAGTTGGATGAAACATTTGCGGAAATTCTGATTGCTGTGATGACAGAGAAAAAAGATAACCACAGATCTAAGAAATCATATGGAAGTGGAATTTCAAAGTTCAATAACAGAATCAAGAAATGACTCGGAAACGCCTGTTTGTTCGTCTGATCAGATTGGTTTATCACTTTCAACTGTAAATTATGAAACAGAATTTGTATGGAAAAAGCTATGCGATAATTTCGCAAGTGCAGAAGAAGTAATAGTTTACAATTTTATGGGAACATTAGGACTAAAGCATGAATTATATGATAGGAATGAAATTGATTATTTTAAACTTTTTTCAATAATGAACTGATAGATAAAATTGTAGAGAAAACAAATCGTTATGCTGCTCAAAAAAAAAAAAATAAGTGTACCAGAAATTTCTCCCGAGATAAAAAGATTACATCATGCTGATTTGAAAGATGTTACAGCATCTGAAATGTTTTCGTTTCTAGCACTGACATTACTATGTGGATGCAAAGAAAAGAATTCAATTAGTGATTACTGGAGCACAAATGAATTGAGACTTGATTTTTCCGAAAATCCTGTTTCTTGACCGCTTTAAAAAATATTACACTTTCTTAATTTTGCGAATAATGAAACACCGCCATCAAAGACAAATTCTGATTACGACTGCTTGTGGAAACTTAGAGAAGTATTTGAAATACTTAACTGCAATTTTAAATCATTTTACGATCCCCCCAAAAATCTGGCAGTTGATGAAGTGATCGTGATTTTAAAGGTTGTGTAAATTTCCATCAGTATATCCCTAAAAATAAAAATTTATAAACTGTGTGACGAAAATGCCTATACGTATGAAATGAAAGTTTGTTGCGGGAAAGATGAAAGATTTGAAGGTTGTTCTACTGCGCATCGGAATCTGTTGTTCTACATTTAGCAAAACATGTGAAAAGGATTTATCGATAATTTCTTTTCTACTCCGCGACTTTTTCTAGAACTAGGAAATAATTATAAGATAAATTGCTGTGGAAGAGAGCAGATCCGATGAAAAAATTTACCCAAGGATTTGACGGCCAGAAAAGCAGGTGATTTGGATCTGCAATATTCAAATGGCCTCACTGTTGCGTGCTGGAAAGATAAAAGAGAAGTTTATGTTTTAAGCTGTATGCATGAATGAGACGGTGAACTCCTTCCAGTTACAAACAATTACGAAAGAACTTCAAAACCTGCACTCATTCGTGATTATAACAAAAATATGGGATATGTTGACCTCAGCGACAGAATGGCTAATTCCTACGGATTTTCAAAAAAGTCTCACAAATGGACAAAGAAACTCTTTCTCCATTTCTTGAACATTGTCATGTTAAACGCATATATATTATTCAAAGAGAGAAACAAGATTGATCACAGAAGTTTTTGCATGAATTTAATTAATCAATTTTTTCAAACGTGATGGGAATAATTTGCGTACGGTTTCTCCAACCAATGTCTCGGAGATTGTTATGAAAACTATCATAAGTAATTTTATATTTTCTTTTTCTTCTTCTCTCTCTTCTTTTTTTTTTTTTTTTTTTGTTTGTTTGTTTTACTTGCGAGTATGCCCACATTACTTATATTAAAACTATGTAACTCATTTTGTAAAATCTTTTGAATGAAGTCTTCGCTTAATTATTTAAAAAGGGTATTAAAATTGATTTTAATTTTTGCTAATTGTCAAAACTTTATAATGGCCGTAGTAAACTAGGTATTAAAAATTAGACTACTTTGAGTTCTCCAGATAGAGTCTGATACATTGTTTTTATCAGTTTGAAATACCCTTAACATTGAAAATTACACTACTGAAATAAGGAATAAAAATGATATATGCAGAAAAAAATCGGCTTGGAGGTCAAATATCAAAGGAACTTTATTTTTAGAAGTTCGGCTGCCGAAATTCTTCGGAAATTATTATTATTCTTCGGAGCCTTTGTGTGCTTTACCAAAATTGAATATAGTAAAGCACACAAAGGCTGCCTATTCAAAAGAAAGGATGCCTTCAGGGAGAACTTTTAGGGGAAATTGGCTCATATTCACGTTTCACATGGGGAAAACAATGAAAACCAATAATGCAGCCAGCTCGATCGCCTGACGTCGAACTACCAGCATTCAGTGGCCTTAACCACTCAGTTACTAATAGTGTTCAGAAAGTAATTAATTTTACGTTATAATTGTGTTTTGGAGGGAATCAAACAAGATATCAGAATACTAACCACGTGTATAGGAATTCAGATATGTACCACATTTTAGTTCCCTGAATTTAATCCTCAGTGCGAATCTTCGTTAATATTCATCAACTCAGTATGAATCTTCATTTGCAGCTTCGTTACTTCCAAAGAAAGCAACAGTAAATAGCTTAAGATCTGAAAATTTCGCATAACAGTTTGATACTTCAAAGGCGATTTTAGCATTCTGAAAATGTATATCATAAAAAAACTAAAGAAGTATGTCGCCATTCGACAAAGATTTTTATTTTTGAAATTTCAATGCTTTCATTGTA